CTCTATGGACTCAAGGAATCGCCAAGGCTGTGGGGTACATACCGGGATCATGAGTTGGCATCCCTCACCGTTTCCATGAACGACACCGTGCTCCAACTACGACGAGGCAAGGCAGTAACGGCATGGTGGACAGTCACTGGTCCAGCTGGGGCACTGCTTGCTGTGGTAGTGATCTATGTGGATGATTTTCTCCTATGTGGTGCTCAAGAGACAATCACTGCATTGGCACGAGCGATTCAGAGTCTTTGGGAGACAACGTAACTGCAGCTGATATCCCAGCACCAACCACTGAGGTTTTTGGGAATGGAAATATGCCTACAAGAAGGACGACAGCAGTCTTTCGGCATCACCCAGGAGGCCTACATCAGGGAATTGTTGAGGGCAAGAAGAATACCTGCCACCCAACAGGACCGAATCCCGCTGAGCAAGGATACAGCATCGTTTGCTGTGTTGGAAAGTGATTCTCCGCCTAACGACTTCGACGTCCACCTTGCCCAACAGCTCACTGGTGAGCTCCTATGGGTTTCCCAGAGGAGTCGCCCTGACTTGTCGTTTGCGACCTCACTAATGTCGGCTTTGACGACGAAGGCACCTGCTCGGGTGATAGCTATTGCAACCAAAACTTTGGGTTACCTTCAGCGAACATTGGGACGGCAGCTGACAATCGCTTACGACGGCACAGACCTTTCTTTGTACTGTGATGCTGCATACGCCCCGGAATCTGGAAGATCACACTCAGGTTGGGTGGTGTTTTGGGGCGGATCGGCAATAGTATGGCGCTCTGGTCGTCAACCCGTGATCTCGCTCTCCACGGCGGAGAGCGAACTCATTGCCCTGTTGGACGGCGCGGTCGCAACCCTTGGGGTGGAAGCTTTACTGCAGGATGTGGACATGCGGGTGTCAACAAGAACTGTAAACACCGACAGTACTTCGGCGTTGGCGATTTCAACCGGAAATGGGGGATGGAGAACAAGACATCTTCGTATAAAGGCAGGCTGGATGCAAGAGCAACTGGATGCCGAGACCTTCTCCATACAACATTGTGCTGGGAAGTTCCAAAGGGCGGATCTTCTGACGAAACCATTGGCGGCCCAGAGAATTGGAGACCTCCTAAGCCTATGGGGGGTGGTTGAAGATGTGAGTTCGCCAACTATGACCCCTTCGAGCTCAAGGATTGCTGCCCGAGTGCTTTTGGCCCTGGTGTGCTGCTTGTTGGTCACAGGAGTTAAGGCTGAAAAAGAATCAGGTGGTGGAGCGCTGTCAGTTGACTGGGATATGTTGGGATGGTTGCTAGTGTTGCTGGCAATAGCTGGGGTGGTCGCAGTCTGGGAAGCTTTGAAATGGTTGGGTTCTGGAATGGCAGAATGGACTCCAGGGACGGGACCACGAAGACTTCGGAAGCTACAGAAGCTGCAAGAGGCTACCCAGCGAGCAATTGTGCAAGAGATTGAGAGGCTAGGATTGGAGGGGGAAACTATGCGAGGGGCTACATCCACGAGTCCAGCTACCTCCACGATTCCAGCTACATCCACGATTCCAGCTACATCCACGATTCCAGCTACATCCATGATACCAGCTACGCCTACAAGGACCCAGGCCGTTTTAGAGGCAAATGCGAGCACACCGAATCGTCCGACCTTTTTAGATGAGCTACTGGCATCTCCGGCTACGAGTGCAACAAGCAGTTGGGATGAGCCAGGAAGTGAGGAGGAGAGGGCACGAGTGTGCGTAGATACAGTTATGCTGATGAGAGTTGAGGAAATCAAGGCGGCACTCCGTGAAGAAGGCCTTTGTGTGACAGGACAAAAGGAGGTACTCGCCAATCGGTTGGCACCAAACCTCGCAAGTGGCCAGTTCCCTTCTAGAGTGCTTCCCTCGACCAAGCAGCTCAAGTTCGTGCTCTACCTGTGGAGGAGGAAGGAGTTGAACTTCAAGACCCATCTGCAGTGGAGCGACATCAACACAAAGCATCGTATTTCGCAGTGGATTCACCGCTGGAAGAATGAATGAAGGCAAATTTTGTTGGCATGGCTGGAGAGATGAAATTGGATTGTTGGGCTGTTTGAGCCTGGCGACACAACAGAGGAGGAGTGAGGAAACCCTCTCCCAGCCGAGGCCAACATCCTGCCGCTCATCGTCCTCTGGCTCCAAGGGAAGGCTGCGGAAAGGAGACCCTTGAGCCATGTGTGAGAACGAAGTTCCACAGTTACGATGTACATCGACACCGTAAGTGCAGAGCACTACACATAACACAAGAAAGCTTAGAGGCCAAGTTGTACAAGAGCCTTGCATGACAGCTACTTGTTTCGCTTCGATGGAAAAGTCCGAGTGTTGAGCCATGGGAACCCCCGAGCATGGAGTATTTCAAGGCCTGCCTGGGGATCCAAGCCAACAAGAAGGGTTTAGGGTTTAGGGTTTGTCCTACGCGCAACTCCTCCCCGCGCAACTCCTCCCCTGAAACCTGCCACGAATGGTGGTTCTTGTGTAGGGGTTGGCCTTTTTACATCCAGGCCTCGCGACGAACGCCGGTTTATACGTCCCCAAACCCTAAACCCTAAACCCTAAACCCTAAACCCTAAACCCCCTTGAGCCCCACATCCGCCTGCATGCGCCGGCGCTGCTCTGACTCGGCCTCGCGGATCTGGCGGCTCCTCCAAGACTTTTTGGCAGGTTTAGGGTTGAGGGTTTGGGGTTTTGGGGGGGGTTTAGGGTTTCGGGCTTAGGGTTACTTACAAGTAGGGTTGAGGGTTTTGGGCTTAGGGGTACTTTCAAGTAGGGTTATAAGTTTAGGGTTACTTACAAGTAGGGTTTAGGGTTTTGGGCTTAGGGGTACTTTCAAGTAGGGTTATAAGTACCCTAGATAAAGGTTGTAAATTAATTAATGATTATATTTTTTTATATAAATACCCACGAACCCCCAAATAGGGTTTAGGAGTCGTGCATTTGAAGAGGGAAGCCAGCTCAATGGTTCATGCGCCTCAAACGAAGTGGAGCAACCTTGCAACTGGGGACTGATGCATCCTCGTGCCCTTGGACTGCTTCATGCCCGGCTGTAAAAAAACACCGAGGAGCCCTGCTTCCTCGAGGGTGCCCTCACCACCGAAACATCAGTTGCAACACTAAACCCTAAACCCTAAACCCTGAACCCTAAACCCTAAACCCTAAACCCTAAACCCCAAACCCTAAACCCTAAACCGCAACCACATGTGCCACGAAGTGCGGGGGCCTCTCAGCTTCCTCTTCTTCCTCCCGCTGCTGCTGCGCTTCCTATCATTTGTGGGTGGGGCGTCTTGGGGGGGCTTCTCATGCTCAAAAACACTGAACCCTAAACCCTAAACCCTAAACCTAAACCCTACTCTAGGATGGCGCTTAAGACCCTGCCCTTAACACCCTCTGAGCTTTTCTTCCGAACCCTAAGCCCTAAACCCTCTTAGCATGATCCTCTTCAACCCCAAACAGCCCTAAGCCCTAAAAACCATCCTCTTAAACCCCAAATAGCCCTAAACCCTAAACCGTAATCCTCTTAAACCCCAAAATTAAGGAACCATATGCAATGACCAAAGGGCCTACCTCGTGCTTTGGTGGATCTGACGGATTTTCCGGGAGTTTGCCCACAGAATCACAGAACCCGATTGTCTCGAAGCAGAAGCCGAGTTGAAACTCAAACACACCCTGGCTTCTGCTGGTGCTTTGGGTTTAGGGTTTGGGGTTTTGGGGTTTAGGGATTTAGGAGTTTGGAGTTTAGGGTTTAGGGTTTACGGAGTCCAGCAGCCTCCGCATGCTCCTCCTCTTCCTCCGCGGACGCAACCTCCGGCTTGTTGGCCTCCTGAAGCCCAAGACCCTGAACCAGACAACTCCAAAGCCCAAATGCGACCCTAAACCCTAAACCCTATACCCTAAACCCTAAACCCTAAATCCTAAACCCTAAACCCTAAACCATGACCCTAAACACCCTAAACCCCGGCGCCAACAGGAGATCTCGTGCCCTCCGCAAGCGCCCTAAATGATGCCATGGGCCTTGTACTAGTGACTATACAAACTCTACGTGGAGGTTCAGTGTACTTAGTAACCCATTATTAGTGCAGTCATAACCCACATATTCGCCCCTTAAATTCCCTAACAGGGTTATATTGGGATATAAGCGCAGTTCTAATTAAGTTACTAAGTACCATGAACCTCCAACAAGCAACTCTCTCTCTCTCTATATGTATATGTATATGCATATGTAAATGTATATAAAAATGTAAATGTAAATGTATATGTGTATATATATATATATGTGTATACATATGGATATGTATATATATATATATATATATACCTTCGTGAGGTCTCCTGGCCTGTCAACCTGAAGGCTTTCATGCACAAATCCCTCTAAACCCCTCTGTTGAACCAGGGCTCTCTGGCATGTCTGGCAGCCTACACCGGACTCCCCTAAACCCAAAACCCTAAACCCTGAACCCTAAACCCTAAACCCTGAACCCTGAACCCTCACAACCCAGGACTTGAAGGCTCATAGCCAGCTGTAAGTAGGGTCGTGTGGTACCTGAATTCGGGTTAACTTACCGTGTAAGTACCGGTACTTATCATCCTAAGTTCAATAAGCACCCATGAACCTCCAAGTAGAGAGAGTCTACAATGCTCGCAATGCGGCGCCCACCTCGGCCTGTTCCCCTTGCTCAGACGCTGCATCCTCTCCAGCCTCTCCATCCTAAATCGCAAGGGCCGTTGCTTTTTTTTTGCTCGTTCTCACCTACATCCGTGCTAGTGAAAGTTTACTAAAATGCACGACTTCTGGGGTGCTCCATCATCAGCAAAACAGCCACACAAGATACACAACCTGCCCGCCCCCCTAACAATATCACAAAACACCACCTCCGGACAAGTGTTAGAGTTTCGGTCTAGGGGAGGATCGTTGATCAGGGATCCCAGCTGGAAACTCCGCGGTGTCGGTATATTATTATATGTGGAGTTGCGCACTGGGCATGGTATCAAGCAGGTCATGTCATGCCGGAACCTCCCAAACATGCAACGAAGGCCCCTCTGTCACTCTCTTCTCTCCTCTTCTTCTCTTTCTTCTTCTGCACTGAGCGTGGGCAAGATGACCAGGAGGATTCGGGTGCGGTCCGGTCCGAAGATAAGCCCTCTCTCTCTCTCTCCCGCTCTCCCTCTCTCTAGGACCCCGGACGCAGCTGCTCTTCGGAAAGCATGATCACTGAATCACCGGAACGACAAAACACTCCAGGACACCCTAGGAGACGCCGAATAAAACAACACCAAAAGCTAGGGGTTGGGGTTCAGGGTTTAGGGTTTAGGCTTTAGGGTTTAGGGTTGCTGAATAAGGGTCTGATGCCCTGCAGCTTGGGCACAGCCTCGCCCAGCAACGCATCGCCTGACTCGCCCATGAGCCTCCGGCAGTGATCGGACAAACCTCAGAGGGCCGACTGAGGGATGCCTACAAGCAGTCGAAACCTAAACCCAAAACCCAAAACCCCAAACCCTAGCTAGCAGCGCAGGCTTGAAAACGAGAGTCTGCTTGGTAGGAACCCGAAAGAAGATCCCGAAATGGCAGCCCCCAAAGCCATCTTTTATATCTGGAAGGGGAAAAGCCTAGAACCTAATTGTTCCTACCAGTAAAGCTAGCCTGCACTTCCTCTAGTCTACACTTTGGCACCTGGCATTCCAATCTGACTTTAGCTACCTTCTTAAGAAGCCTGAGAAAGAACCTAAAGTTACAGGAAAGAACCGCCGAGTTCTGTGATCTGAAGCTAAGGAAAACCCTCAACTTCGGCTCAAGGGGCGCTCGGCGAGAACTTTCCGGGACCCTTGATCGCTGAGGCCTTCCTCTGTCATTGTCGGGGTCCAGGTCTCCGGGTCGGTGGTTTAGGGTTCAGGGTTGGATGAGGACGCATGGACGAGGGCTGGAGTTACGATGGTGTGGGGCTGATGATTTGCCGTGGATGGCTGAGGGTGGTGATGGGTTGTGTCTTGGACGCTGCACAACTCCCTGAATGCAAAACCGGGGCTTGCTGCAGCTGGTAGGCCGCACTGCATGAATTCGGCCACTAAGTGTTGTTCGCCAAGTCTGCATGTTGAACTCAAGACGCAGGGTTGTTGTGAGCAACTGTTTCGTCCACCCCGGCCTCCCGGCATGCCTGCATCAATTGGTCCTGCAGGTCATTTTCCGGCGAGAGAGAGAGAGAGAGAGAGAGGGAAGGCTCATAGCAGGGGAGTGGGGCAAACTCAACAGTATGTCCCCTGTGCTGTGTACATACGGCGCCTTCGGCAAGACTCTCCGGGCATGTTCTGTGTGAGTCCCCCACTCCCGACTTGTCAGCGCAAACGCCCGACCGAATTGCGAATCACAGTCCATGGGTCAACTGTCAAGAAGGACTACCGACTTCAGCCAATTAAGCTAATTTAATCCCAGACTAAACCCACATTCCTGTTATGTGGGCCGAAAAACCGGTCAGCCTAAACCTTGCAGTAGACCCGGCCCGCGCGCCTTCGAGTTCCGATGGATGAAGGCCAGAGCACTCATGTCAAATCGGAAGGAATGGGCGAAGTCGGTGTGCACCTCAGTATCCATCCCCCAACCCCAAGACAGCGTGAATCTCTGGTTCGCTGCTAAGTTAAACAAGGCAAGTCGCAGTCTTGCGCCAACAAAAGGCCCCGTTTCCTGATAGATGTTCCCGAAGCCCTTAAATCGCAACTCGACTGAGGCGCTTGCCACGAACTGGTAGACCTAAACATATCCGACTACCAGCAGGCGGGGTGGTGTTCGAAGCCGTATTAAAAATGTTGAAAACATGGCGCCGTTCTTTCCCTGAGCAGGGCTCGGGGGCTTGATGGGTGGAAACGACATCCGGGCAAGGTGGGCTTATAGTGAACTCCAGAAAGTTGGAACATGAACTTAGGATGGTTAGTGCATGGTTTCCCTATACTTTACCTTAAGAGTATTGGGATGATGATGTTCCAACTTTCTGGAGTTAACTGTAGGGTCGTGGAGGCTTGTGGATGTTCAAGGCGGACCCTTGCAATGCAAACGCCTGGGATCTGAACCTGAGAATCTTGAAGCCTGGCCCTAAACTAGCATTTTCGACCCACATGCCAAGCCAATGACCCAATGGTCAGCGCGGGGCACCCGTAGCCGGCGCCGCTTCTTGCGATGCAGATGGTACTCCTGATGGGGTTTGCGGCCTTTGCCTCTGGGAAGAAACCAACTCCCCTAAGCTACCTGGGAATGAAAAGGAAGCCTTTTTGCTTAGTGTTAAGGCGCAAATTTTGGTAAAAGCAAAAAAAGGATACAGTAGGGAACTTGTAGGAAAGGAGCCTCGTCAACACTGAGACTCAGACCGGCTGGTTTGCCGCGGTTGCGTTACGTATTTTGTGCAGAAATGTAAATGGGAACTTGTTCATGAGCAATCCTAAAAGCCGAAGAAAAATAAGCAACAGTAGTATGGCATTGGTAGAACGAATAGTAGCGGCCGTAGCAAATCATGCGCTCATGACTGAGATTGCCTGCCCAAGCCCGAAACTAGCGAAACCGAACATGCCAAGTATTAATGTAAATTGCCCAGAGCTTAGGACTTCGGGATATTTTAGGTCCTTCAGGACAGGATTGACCCTAAACCCTAAACTTTGAGTCTAAAGAGCCTGCGCTTCCCGCACCTCGGGTTCTTTCAAGGCTATTGGGGGTTGAGGGATGTGGAGCTTAACATTGGTAGGCCTCAGGATCTAATGTAGGGGGCTATTCAAAATTGTGGTCTTTTGGGCCACTTTGGTTTCAAATGAGAAACATGTGGGGATGACCAACGCCCGTGAAGATACACGTTAACAAGTACACTGCCTCTGAACTCGACTCTGCCAAAAGGCTCTCGGCTCCTCTTTGCCCTCTTCGATCTTTGTTCTGGGCCGATGTCTTCGAGGATCCTTGACGCGCACCTGCTCAGTTTCCCTCAGTGGGCATGCTTCAGTCTGAGATGTAGGCTTGGACACAGCTAGGGCCAACACACACACACACACACAAACACACACACAAAAAAAAAGTCCAAGGCGATTCCCACATTACAGAGCAGCCGCGAGACGACTCAAGCAGACTGTTGCAAGAACCACAACGCGGAAAGACGCAAACAAGCAGGCCGCAGAGAGCCTCGAACCCCACTGAAGCCCCGCCCCGACATCTGACAGTCAGCATAAGATACCTCCTCCCCGAGAATCTTACAGTCACCATAAAATACAATGATAAGTGCAACCTATGGTAAGAAGATGTTATCATGTATCAGAATAGCAACCTTTAGGAAAAAATAGGGTAAAGATTGGGATGTTCCCCCCTATACTAATAGTCCTCAATAGGGATGAAAGGACCCCCCCCTCCTATTATAATCCCTATGAAGGACCCTAAACCCTAAACCCGAAACCCCGCTCGTATAAGGGGGAACAATCCCGAGGTCACTCTCTGGGAGCCTTCCCGAGCTTCTTCCTGCCGTCCTCCTCCTTCGGCTGAAGCTTCTTCCGCGGGTCCTTCGCCTGTGGAGGTGTAGACCCAGTCCGGTTTGGGGTTTAGGGTTTAGGTTTTAGGGTTTAAGGTTTTTTTCCTCCTTTTTTCCCCACAGCTGGGGCGAGTCCGCATCGCAGGGACGCCTTCGAGGCACGACGAGAAACGACTGGGCATTTTTTCCCCGCCCGTTTCGCATGCGTTTGCGGGGAAAAGGTCGGTGGTTGAAAAGCCCAAGTTCAGTATGTCACAACGGGATGCTCAGAGGATGGGTCATGGGCCACTGAGTTCAGGAACAGCTAGGGGTACAAGGCAGCCACAAGAGCACGGCGCCCCTATACCAATCCTTCTATACTGTGCGGTCTACCAGAAACACCGGAGTGATCCAGTACGGTTGTCAGAGGAGTGCCAGAGATACAATGAAATGAGAATATGAATAAGGAAGGTTCACTCTGAAGGGTACAACTGGGTTCAGGGTTTCGGGCTAGACCGAAGAGTAACCTAGGAGTACAAACAGTGGGTGCCCTTTTCGGTTTATAAGGGGCTTCTCCGAACCTAAACCCTAAGAAACCGGGAAGAAGGTGCCTACTCTGGATCTTAGGCTTTCCAGGTGGCCTATAGGAACCACACTCAAAAAGGGTAGAAGCAACCCAGGAATAACGGAAAAGCCTCAGAAACCTCGATAATCCCCACTCACCTACCACATCCCTAAAGCCTACAGGAACAGCCAGGACACTTGTAGATAGAAGCGTGCAAACACTGGAGGTACAAACATCACTGTTGTTCCCAGCTCACAGTTTTCAAGTCACATCCGAACACGCAGTAAAAACCAATGCGCAGGACATACGCAACAACTGCCGGAAGACAGGGTACGCATGAACCTTTAGGATGAGGGTTGGGGGACCCTAAACCCTAAACCCTTTTCCAGGAGACTTCGCCCGCCTCGATAATATCCCGCCTCCCTAAAACCCCTACACCCTAAACCCTAAACCCTAAACCCTAGGGGAGTGCCCAGGCGAGTCAAGCTTCGTCGCTTGAGGCCATCTGCTCTGCCAGTCGCTCAGCCTTCCTGGCCGCCCGACGCCTGGCCCTTCGCTGCTTTGCGACGCGCAAGTCCACCTGAAGGCCATGGCATGGTTAGGGTTTAGGGTTTAGGGTTTGGGGTTTAGGGCTTAGGGGTTATTTAGGGTTTAGGCTGAGTCCGTGAGTCTGTGGGGTTCCGGGCACACCTACTTTTAAGCACGTTGAGGCATTCTGGGTCTCGAAGCTTCTGCAAATACTCACAAGCCGTGGTTGGGCCCTAAACGCTGGTGGCTTAGAAATTGGGATAGGGGACCCCTCTGAATAGGAGGATCACAAGCGCAGCTCGTATGCACCCTTCATCGGCAAGGCACCACCGAGCCGTTGACCACCGTCTTCTGGGGCTCGACGTTGGGTCCTAGACCCAACCTGGTATGGTCAGTTCTGAAAATGGTTGTCCCGTTTTGGGGGTTCCCTGCTCTGCTTACGGCAGGGTCTGCCAAAAAGGGTCATGATCTAGAGAACTAACTATTTCGGTAACCCAGGATGTGGCGTTTGGTGTTTCAGGTGCCGAGGGTCGTAGGTAGAATCGTAGAACGCAACGTTCGGTTTCTTGCCATTCATGGGGTACCGCAAGGGCCATCGACATGGTTCAACTTCGCCCAAGCCAAACTCGCTACCCTATACTGTGGAGTAGAGTCACATCTGGAATGCGGAGACGTGGACATGGGGGGACGGGGGAAACGTAGGATCCACACGCCCCCACATCCCCGTTCCTCCTGGTATGCCGTGTGTGCTGCAGAGTTTTAAGGGGCATGCCGGGCGTACCAGGTTTAGATACATACAGGCCGTACACAAGCGCTATGCCGCTATGCTTGCTACCGGCCTCCTGTCGCCTCTTGAATCCTTCTGGCTACCTCTGTCAAATAGCGACTTGGCACCAAAACCCTAAGGTTTGGGGGGTAAGGGTTATAGGTCTCCCAAGCAACCTCTCTTGCATACCAGGGGTGCAGAAGGGAATCTATACAACCGACAAAGGGAACCAGGCACTACTAGGAGTCCTACGAGTCGTGAAACATCCCTCCATGGTCCGTCTGCCCTCACTCAACTCCCACGCGGCCCGGCCACTTCTCCGCAAAAGCTCCAGAGACATCCGATGCACAAATGTACCGGATCTTTTGCCTGAAGTTCAAGCTCCACCCAGGCCGATGATACCTGGTTTTGTGTTCAGGGTGGAGGGTTGAACCCAAAGCATTGCCAAAGCATAGCAAACTTTTACGTTCTCATGTTGCTCACGCACCGGTTCTTTGCAGGCTTCTTGGATGTCGACACTCAGTATCGGGGTATCGTAGTCGTAGTGTTTTTGCAGTAATTAAGGAATTTAGGAAGTAGCTACCCCATATAACCCCAAAAAGGCGCCTCGAGTTACTAGACCTCCCTACTAAGAACCAGGAAGTCATCAGGGGTCGTCCAAGGGGCTGCACGAGGCCCATGTTTTCCACCATCTTCCTTCGTTGTCCAGCAGGCGAAATCTCGGAGGTTGTGGCGACTGTCAAACTGTGCTCTTGATACGCAAGGCCGGAAGCACCATGTTACCCTAAGCCCTGCGCCCTTTCCCACCCCGAAACCCTAAACCCTAAATCTAAACCCTAGACCCTCGACCCAAATGTCGGGAAGCTTCTCCACGACCTTTGGCTTCGTAGCGGATGTGACAAGATCCGGGAAGAGCTTCTTGAGCCTCGGCACGTTGTGCCCCGGCAGTGTTCCCCTTTACACTTCGGGTTTAGGGCTAGGATGTCCCCCTCTTATGCTAACAGCTCCTTAACAGGGACTCTAATGGGGGAGGGGGTACTATCATCCCTTTTCAGGGACTGTTTGGTTTTGGGGGGAACATCCCAAGTGTTTAACGGTTTCTTGCGCGGATTTTCCGCTTTGCACTGCATTCTTCACTTTTGCGGGTTTCCGAAGATTAGGTTCTCTTGTAAAAGGGTCCCCACAATATATAAGGCGGGCCAGTGCTCTGGGAAACACCCACTTGTTACCGAACGTTTCAGGCCTGGGCATCAGGCGGAGTGAGTGAGTGAGTGTGTAGTGACACTTTACCCTGCCTTTGGCTGACCAAGGCTCACCAAGCGCAAGATGCCTCCAATAGGCAGGAGACCTCTTACAAGTTTACCTTTCCACCCCCGATAAAGAATCAAGCCGTTCACCTACGCAAAGCCCCTCCCCTCTCCCCTCCCCCCCCCCCCCCCCCCCCCCCCCCCCCCCCCCCCCCCCCCCCGCCGAAAGAAAGGGACCCTTCTACCCCTCCCTAGACACTTCTGGGGAACCCAGCAAGCAGGGTTAACCAGAGTGACTTGCTTTTGTGTTAAATAGGTTTCGCAGGTGACCCAAACCCCCTAAAAAGGGAAAGGGGCACTACTTTGGGATGTTCCCGCCCTTATACTAACTGCTCCCTAATCGGGATTAGAAGAGAAGGGGGGGTGCTATATCCCTACTAAGGAGCTGTTAGTATAAGGGGGAACACCCTAAACCCTAAACCCTAATACTGTCTCTTCGGCCGCGGGGCTTTTCGGCCGCAAGCGCCTCGAGGTGCTCGCGGGGGTGGCGCAGATGCTTCTTCAGATGTCCATCCTTGATCACCTGAGCCCTTAACCCTAAACCTTAAACCCTAAAGCCCTAAAGCCCTAAAACCCCAAAACCCTAAAACCCTAAAGCCCTAAACCCTGAAGACCTTAGCTTTTGGGCCCACCGGAGAAGATGTTGGGACGAGCTCTTTAGGAAAGAGGCGTCCTGCTGGCTCAAGGAATTTCGGTTGAGAGGAAGGCAACTACTTAGGGTCTAGGGATTTACATGGGAGTCTCTTTTTCTGCGGGCAACCATTCCGAATCCTGAATGGCCTGGACTCTGCCCGTGCCTTGTATTCGGTGAAGGCGGAAGAACAACCACCACGGCCCTTGTTCGCCTTGGGTTGCTGGCAACCCCCAATCTAAATCCTAAACCCCCAACCCGACTTCAGGGTCACGCACTTGCGTAATCCTAAACCGACTTGACCCACCGAAATGCAGATCACCGGAGACCTTACAATCTGAAGGAGTGCTGAAAGCGTTTTGGGCTTGAAATGTAGAGTTGAGAGCCCTAATAATCGTATGATCTGTTCTGGCTTTATCAATGTAACCGAAACGGCAAACATCAAGCGTATGGTTGCTAAGGCTATGTATCTCCGACAATCACGGCACCTGCTGCACTTCGCTATCTCTTTTGTCACATGCGCTCTGCTACTGGTAAGCGTTACAAGCCTTGGTCTAATTAGATGTATCAGGTGTTTCCTCGTCTGCGTGTCCGAAACCCTGCACCCTAAAACCTCGTAGGGGTGGCAGGTGTCAGTCTTGAGTCCCAGGTAGTCGCAGCGCATGCACAACTTTCCCTGGCTGAAGAAACGCAGTATGCGCTCGTAGTCCTGATTCCGTCCACGTGGGGAACTTCCATACGAGTGCAGTCTTTTTTGGTTGCTACTACTAGGGGTCACTAGTGGGCTAAGCTTCGCCGGGTATACCGAGGAGAGGAAAACCCCAATTTCAGAGAGAGTTGATGGCACATTCAGATCTGATCTCTACCCAAAATTGTCCACAGTGTTCCGAAGCCTTCGAATCTCACACTGGCAGGGTACAGGAATGCATTTACAATTGCAAAAGGAGGCCAAGGCCTCACTGAGGTCCGCACGAGTTTTATGTAGGTTTTTGGACACGACTTGTAACGTGAAAGGGATCTAATCCAAGCCTTCCAGCTTCGTCACTTGCCGATCAAGAGAACCTTCCCCTGGTAGCCCCTGGTCCTCCATGACTGGCACCGTCAACTTCATCTCGGTGCCCGGGTTGATGTAGCCGACCAGTTGTGTGGTTGCCTTTAGGGTTTAGGGTTTAGGGTTTAGGGTTTAGGCACTAAGGGTGCTTTTGCGCTGGTAGGGTGTCGAGGTTTCGGGCTGCCAAGGGTTTAGGCGGAGAGCCGACTGACCTCGTTCCTTGTGCCAATTTTCGTGCCTCTGATATGCGAACAAACCGCACTCACAGACGATATGCACTACCCCAAAACCAGCAGGCAAACTCCAGGACGAGCGTGGAAGTGCATATGTGACCACAAGCCCAATAAACTCAAGCGCCGCGAAGCGACTGCGGCAAAGCTAATGATTGGGTCAGGCCTTTGTCAAACCCAAGGCGTAGGTCCGGGAAAGCATCCACTGGTTGGCGAGCGGGTAGACGCCCCAGAGAACGCAACCCTCACCTGCGCAGTCCATGTGCAAAAGCAAGACTATACTTCACTAAGCTCAGAACCTTTTGGGGCTCAGTAGGATCAAGCTGATATCACTCATCGCCGAACTGTGAAGCCTCAAGCCTTCGCAGCCCTCATGTTAATTCCTAACCGTCTCGACCCTTCGTACCCAAAAGGCCTTCGCAATGAATCCGATGCCGCGTTCAGGATTCAGGGTCTGGTGTGGCCTAAACCCCTGGAGCCCAGCCAGCTCATCATTCTCAAGACTGAGGGAAGGCGTCAGGGCAAAAGAAGGCAACATGTGCACCGGCTGCTATTTGCCTTTGGGGAGGCCCTAGAAGGAACACTTATGAGGCTTGAAGGGTTCGGGCTTGGACAAAAGTGTCCTGAACTAGCCCATCCCCCTATTTTCAGTGCCTTTCGATTTCACTTCTCTTTTTACGAACCCACCGCGTCTTGCCTAGAGCAAGAAGGAGGGCCTTTGAATGCCTCTTCGGCTCTACATGCCCCGAAACCCCTACCATGGTTAACGGCCACGTCACGACTGGCCACCGCAAACCTGGGCCGACTCGGAGGCGGGGTGGGTGTGGGTTTTTTTTTTAGGGTTTAGGGGTTTAGGGTTTAGGGAGGAAACCGGCGAATCTGTCGCGATTTCGACACAACAGCCCCGGGCAATTTAGGTCTACATCACCCTGCCTGCTGCAAAAGCTTCCGAGCAACAGATGGTCGATGATTGCTGGCAGGCTTGCGTTGGGAACCGGAACTGCCTGCGCTGTTCTGTCGCTTCGCACGGATCCTGGTGGCGAGGATGCAAAGCCCCTCACATGTGGCATTGCATTCTCATGATCGTCTTTTCGATCACAATCACGCAACCCTTTTTGACTAAACCCTAAACCCTAAACCCTAAACCCTAAGCCCTAAACCCTAAACCCTAAATCCGAGAGACATTCTTCTTACACGGGAGGCGACTCTTGCCACGAAACCTCTGTGTAAACTTCCTCCATCACCCACACACAAACCACTCTCCTGTGGAGGTGACGACGCCCTTGATGTCGTCATCCATCTCCTAAGTGGGTTTAGGGTTTAGGATTTAGGGTTTTTTTTTTGCTTGGTACACTTCTCGATTTGTGCGTGTCATCCTTGCGCAGGGGCCATGCTAGTGTATCGTTCCAATTTTATCGGATGATCCCCGAAGGGAATTTAGGGTTTAGGGTTTAGGGTTTAGGGCTAAGTTGGATCCCGGGATCTCTACTAGGTCTTTTTTGAGACCTGGACTTGATGTTTGCAGGGCCTTGGCCGTAATTGTGGGCAAAACACTTCTACTCCTGCGACCCCATCAAGACAACTTCTCCCAATGCGGATCGAAGGTCTGCCACCCAAGAGCTAGGATTCCCGCACTCCACAAGCCAGGGTTCAGGGCTTAGGGTTTCAAAGGCCTACGGCTACAGCGGCTACAGGGAGTGTGAGGGTGCTGTCGATAAGCCGAGTCTCCACGATGCGCGTGCCCACCGGAAAGAAGCTCATGATCCTATTCCTCGACGGCTCATCATGACACCCGTACGAAAACACCACTTCTAGCCCTAGCTACTGTTTGCTTAAGAGCCACCCCCCAAAAAACTATTCTTCCTTTAGAGGGGAAATATAGTAGGGACATGTAGGGAGACATTATCTTGCATGCTTTGGGGGAAATAGTAGCTAGAGATCCACCGTGACCCCTCCAGCCCTGTATACCCATGCCGGTGGCTCAAATTCTCGGTTTAAGAAATGTGCCTCTGACCGCAGACGCCCTCTTCGCCCGGGACCACATTGACGCCGCGCGGTTCTAGCGCCTTCTGGTACCTTCACTACATGTGGGTCTTCCAGTTGCCTAGCCGCCCCACGCACGGCAGACCGTCCCTGATTTGTGGACATTCACTCAAACAGCCTTCAGCTACCAGTGACATGCACTGCCGACGCAGCGACCATGCCTACCTTGATATGCAGCTGTTTCACTTCTCCATACAGCATCTAGTATCAACCCACATGGACCTTGTGAAAGCATGATCTCAAATCTCGTTGCCCTGGGCACTCGTCGCACTGCCGTGGGTCTGCGAAGACGAAGATGCGCCGGGTCGGTATACCCGCCGAACATACCAGGTTGAGTGTATGTGACACTATGGTACCTTGGATGCTTGCAGCGGGACCGGCTCTTTCACACGACAGCTGTCGCTACAAACTCAGCGAAATCCTGACATCAGACCCCACCTATGATTCCGTGCCAGCCAGTATATGGGCACTTCCCAAAATAGGGGGTTTCCCCTAGTATACCCCCAAATGCTGTAATCCTTCTTGCAGAACAGGGCATCCCTATTTTCGGAAACCCCATATGCCAGAAGGCCAACTCGGTCGTAGGATGGGATGGCCACCACCCAAGGCTCTGCATGGGCGGCCGAGGCCATGGTAGGCAGGAGCTCTGCACCAGGTCATGGGCAGCAGCTCTGGAGTATGTGCCCTAAACCCTAAGCCCCAAACCCTAAACCCCAAACCCTAAACCCTAAACCCTAAACCCCCGAAACCATTTTTCCTGAAACCTTTTTTTGCAAGGAAACCATGGCCTAAGCCCTCGCCTTGTTTCAGCACAGGGTGTGTAAGATTTCGGGAAGATGGATCCATGGCTGGGCTTGAAGTCGGCGGTTTCAAACTTAGGGTTTAGGGTTTAGGGTTGAGGGTAGTAGGGCTCTGACTGGGCACGATGGGGCCTTTGTTTCACTTGGGGTCTCTTGCGATCTTGAGAAAGATGGACTGAAGGTTCCGGGCGTCTATGTATGGCTTCTGACGGCAATCTCGGGCTGATAGGGCTGCTTCTAGCCTTGGAGCCACTCGAGTCAGGAAAGGGGATCGGGCGAGCAGCGTCTGCTCAATCCTCTCTTCCGACCTGGCAATCTTTTGGGTTCAGGGGCTCAGGATTTGTTGTTGAGCTTTCAACTTTAGGGCGGGTGGTTATATAGGGCTTAGGGCCCTATGCAACTGACTAGCCAGCAAACCTGGAGGGACCATTGTCTCCAAGCATGTGAGTGCTCAGAATTCTCAGGCGTTTCCACGCCAAGGCCCCTATAGGCTCTGAGATCCGGCGTAAGACTCGGGCTCAGGGTGTGGAACGTCGGGGCGTAGCAAGGATGACCCTCCAACAGAGTCGCCGGTTTAGGGTTTAGGGCTTCAAAGGTATGCAAGCCTCCGCCGGAAGAAGCACGCGCGCGCAGGTACGCGCGGGGACGATCTCATGAGCCCTACACCTTCAAACATTGCTAGACCCCCTGAGTCCGATCCCCAAACCCTAAACCCTAATTAAACCCCAAACCCCAAACCCCAAACCCCAAACCCCAGACCCTAGACCCTAGACCCTAAACCCTAAACCCTAAACCCTAAACCCTAAGCCAGACTCCTCAAACACCTTCATGGCCGCATCAGCTGCCGACTGGGCTTCGACCACCGCAGGCCGCCTGGGCTCAACTTCCCGGCGCGCTGATCTTAGATATGCCTTGGGATGTTCCGCCTTATACTTAGGGTTTAGGGTTTAGGGTTTAAGGTTTAGGATGTTCCCTCTTCTACTAACAGCTTGATAATGGGGGGGGGGGGGGGGGGGGGGGGGTACGATAATCCCTATTCGGGCCTGTTAGTATAAGGGGGAACATCCCAAGATATGCCCCGAAATATGAACCTGGCCACTTTAGGGTTCGGGTTTTCTGCTTAGGGTCTGGGGGGGGAGGGGTCATATCAGGGGTGAAGGATTGCTGCGCAAATTCTCGGGAGAAGGAAGCCCTTTGATTTGAAAAAAGGGGCGCTCAGAGTACTCTCAGAATTAGGTTGCAGCGCGACCAGCGCCCAACTTTTGGGTCTACGTTGCTCTTTAGGGTTTAGGGAGCCCTCCCTCCACAAACACCTCTGGTCAAGCTGGGCTTGGTAAATGCCACCAAGCACCCCCATGAACCCTCAAAAGCCAGAAAAAAGACTGCGGAGCCACTCAGAAGGACCCTGGACCACTAAACCCGACGTACACCTTAAACCCTTTACCCTAAACCCTTTTATTGAACCCAGACTCCTGAAGAACCCTGAGCCCTAAGCCCTTTTTTTGTGGCCATTCCCAAAGGGGCCCTCGGGTTCGGAAGCCCGTTGGGCGTTCGGACTTGGCAGCTTTCTGCGCTGCCTATCAGAAAGATGAAAGCAAGATACGTTGGGTGTTCGGAGTTTAGGTTTAGGGTTGAGGGGTATTAGGGTTTCGGTCGAGGGATCCAAGTCCAGCCCAGTTCTGAGGCATTTGCTCCAGGTAGGTCTCGCTCATCACCAGGAGGGCCAGCGCCGTAAGCCTCGTATTCTTCGCATGGGGTTTTTAAGCAAATAGTAGTCTGATCTGGCTTGTTGGGAGAGCAACCAACCTTACTAACACCACTGAACCCGCTACATCACCAAGCCCTGCCATACAATGGCTCCTTACCCACACTTGCCCCAGAGAAAAATACACCAAAAGCCAAAGCCCAAAACCTCAAAACCTGAAGTGGCCGTCTTAGCAGGCCTCAGACCTCTAACCTTCCGACGGACAAGCATGTGCGTGGAAGCAAGATAAAAACGCATCCCCCTGCGGAAGCTCCCCAAAATATCTCAAAATGCATGTAACCCCCCTCCCCCCTAAACCCTAAACCCTAAACCCTAAACCCTAAACCTAAACCTCCCCCCCCCCCAAAAAAAAAGCTCTGGGAGGTTGGACTTCTGATCTCCAGCATCCTTGGCCTTCTGGAGGGCCTCTCGCCACTCAGTCTTCAACTTTCTTTTTGGGGGGTGTTGTAAACGGGAGTTTAGGGTTTAGGGTTTAGGGTTTAGGGTTTAGGGTTTAGGTACTACAATAAGGGTACCCTTTTTGGGGTTGGTTTCTGCAATAAGGGGACCTATAACCAAACAAAAAATCGGCAAGGGGTACCACGGGGCCACCAAGTATCTTGCAACTCAAAGGACTCCGGGACTTGCGGTTGGGATGTTCCCCCTTATGCTAACAGTCCTTGATAGGGCTTATCGTACACCCTAATTGTAGTCCCAATGAAGGACTGTTAGTACAAGGGGGGTTGAAGGTCCATCAGCAGGGCTGGCTCATTTGGGGGGGGGGGGGGGGGACTGAAATTCTATTGGCCCACAAGCAGTCGAACGCGGTTGACCCGCAGGCCCCTCATGCTCAGCCGAGCTCAGGCATAGTATTCCCCTAATGCCATGGTTCATGTAGGTGGATTCGAAGTGTTCGCGCAGATGGAACTTTTTTCCCGGAGGCATCAACAACTTTTGAGATAGCCTGATTCAGCTGCTTTTTGTTTGCCAGCTTCCGGGTTTAGGGTTGAATGTGTTTACGCTTAGGGCCCAGGGCTTCGGTTCTGCAAGAGCCTGTACTTGTTCGGTGCCTCATCGGATTTGACTCGGCGCAGAAATGGCGAAGTAGGATTTTGCGCAACGCAGCTCTTTGGTCCGTCGCAATGCCTCACCGCATCGAAGCAAAGTTGCTAGTATCTACCTGAAGGCTCCACTGTAGTTCCTTTTGGAGGTCAGTTCTTGGGGGTTCTAGTCCACTGTATACGACCCAAAAAGGTACTACATAGGAGCCTTTGGATAGCATGGTCATTTCGCCAGGTTCGATTGAGACGTGTTGAGAACACTTCCGGAGTCTCGTGGCCTCAAGTGACAAACAGGAGGTGCTGTCCAAGCCTACACACCCCATGAACTCCTAATGCCCAAGCCCCCCCCCCCCCCTGATTCCGTTCTTGCAGTCAAAGAAGCCTTACCACACCCATCATCCGAATGTAACAGGGTTTTGGGGGGGTCATTATAGTATATTTATCAAGGGACCATAAGGGAATACTACTAGTAATTATTCCGACCCCTATTTTGAACCCTAACCCTAAATCCTAAATCCTAAATCCTAAATCCTAAATCCTAAACCCTAAACCCTAGACCCTAAACCTCCATTAAAGGACAAGCTCTTGAGACCCCGAGGAGACATCTGAGCCGATGGAGGTCCCATGAAACGCGTCACGGACCCAGACTGGGCATGCCATGCATGGCCATGTGCGCGGGCACCGCCATCCTGGGCGCCAGCTTAGGGTTTAGGGTTTAGGGTTTAGGGTTTAGGGTTTAGGGTTTAGGGTTTAGGGTTTAGGGTTTAGGGTTTAGGGCCTTAGGGTTTAGCGCTTAGGGAGAAAGATGCCTGGCTTCCATACGACTTCCACACCCTTCTGGCTGTAGCTTGAGCCCACCGAAACTCCCAAGCAAGTCCCATATATATATATATAGACATGTATTTATTTGTTTACGTATATATATATATATGTATATGGATATATATATATATATAGATATCGGACATCTTTGCAACCGAGGAGCTGATGCATGGGCACTGCCATGGCCATTGGCTGAATACCACCCTGGGGCAGCAGCAGGCCTCGGTGTCTTCATGTGGTGGGTATGGTCAGCCCGCTTCGGGTGTCCTTGCCTTGTCTTCGCTTCAGTTCGACACAGCTCCAGGAACTCAACCGACATGTAATTATATAAAAGGTATCTATAAGTAAATAATATATAAATAAATAAATATATATATATATATATAAAATTAGATATACACAGCTCTCGGGACAATTTTTGGCCACCTGCCCAGCCGCATCTAGGCATGTTAAAGTGTCGACTCTCACACTGGCGCACGCCGGAAATTCTGGTACAATGTCCAAACCGCAAGGCACCTCCTCTTTTAAGGAAGCGAGACGGCATTGCAGCCAAGTGAAACTCATCTGAGCTCAACTAGCCAACCTCGCTCTCAGCCCATCTGGTACACCCTGACGTCGCCATTCTCCAAAGCCGCCAGGACCTGACCAACCACAGCAGGATTGACTCGAAGAGAGTTGACGGAACCAGCCTTTGTGTCCAGCTCACACCACAACTTCTTCTCTCCTGGGATCCACAACAGCAAAAGGCCGAAGGCGTGACCCGAGTAGATATTGTTGCCACCCGGGATCACTTCCAACGATCGAACAGGCCCGGCATGGGCAGCGTACAGCTCTCCTTGCAGCTTGCCGCTGAAGACATCCCACATGCGAATGATGCCATCTTGACCACCGGAATACAAGGTGTTCCCAGCCGGAGCCGAAACCAAGGCGTTGACAGATCCTTCATGGGCCTTTGGGATCAAGCTCTTCAAGAAGCCGTTGTAGACCTTCCAAACACGGATGCTACCATCCTCGTAGCCGACTGCATAGAGGATGTCGAAGGGGATCGCTGCAATGCACATCACCTTTCCCCAGCCGTCCGGCTGGTAGAAATAGACCGGGACATCGCCCCAACGCTCATTGGTGAACCAATTGGTAAACGGGGCTGTGCGATCGGCAGGACGGAGTCTCCGTGCCTGTGCCTGCACCTCCTCAGGCACCTTGCCTTCCAGAGACGTCACGATAGCCGGAGACATCTCTCCGCCCCGGGACGTGTCGCCGCCGTCCAGCAGGCGCCGGCTGGTGGCCAGGAATCCCTCATGTGGATGAATCCCGAACAGATTCTTCCTCCACTCCGTGAAGCCGACTTGGAGCTCACTGGGATGGCCCTTGATCTGGTCGGGCCAGCGGACAAAGAGCGCATCTCGGTCAATTTGCCAAGCCCACTCGGCATCCGGGTCGACTGGAACTGAGAGGGTTCCACCAAATTTCCAGTGCCAGATTACCGTCTCGCTGTCAGTCTGACCCACAATGACGGTTTCCCACGTGGGGACGCTCATGCAGTACGTAGTAAAGACAGAGCTTGTGTTCCAGGTCGTAAACTCCACGGAAAGGGTTCCTGCATCTTCCGGGCCTGAGCTGCGCCAGACGATTACTTCTGTCGAGCTGGCAGCACAGAAGAAGGTGGCATCGCGGAACGTGCTGATCGCACGAACGCCGGAATAATGGGCCGAGTAGTTTCGGAGGAAGTGGCCATCCTCAATCCTCCAGATGAAAATTAGCATGTCATCTCCACCACTGACCGCTTGAGTGCCACCAGCGATGATATCCACGGCGTTCGCTGACACGTATTCGCCACTGGCTTTGTGCCAAGGGAAGGTAGCTTTCACTCTGAACTTGAGCAAGTCCTCACACTGTGGAACTTCCTTCACCTCACAGCCGGGCTCCAGCAAGCCTTGCATGACCATCTCGAAGGCTTTCTGGTTCCACTCATGCCTGGGTGTCGTCGCGAAGTCGAGGCTCATCATGTTCTCACAATATGTCGTCAGCGACATGCAACTCTTGCATGCCGACGTGTAGGCATTGGCACCACCATTGCCACAGTACTCATCGCCATTGTAGCAGCATTGCTCCGGGCACTTGGAAGGAGTGCACCGCTCTGGTGGGAACGGCCTCTGGCAGGGGTTTGCGCCGTTGCAAGTAGTGGTGGCGCACTCGCCTTGACAACACGTGTCCTTGCAATTATCTTCTCCTTTGCACTTTCCACTTTTTCCCATTTTGAAGAATGTAATCTTCCTTTTGAAGAATGACGGACCAAGGGCAGCCACGCACGAGAAAGCTGGAATGTCGTCGCACTCGATCTCGAGACAGCACTTCTCCAAACAGTCATCGGAAGTCTCGGGTCCCTCACATGTGCCGGTCGGGTCATGGGTGGAGTAGGCGTCGCACGTAACTCCAGCACATGAAACTTCAGCAAGCATTCGCAATTCCGATGCCATTCCCTCCATCGAAGCATCGCTGGAAGATTTCTCCATTTCTCCAGCCTGCATTGGGAAGACTGTGGCTGTGGCCATGACCACGAGCGCAGCGCCGAGGAGAAAGAGTGCATAGGCCGCCCGGCGGAAGACAGCACTTTGGTGCGTCGCCTCCTGGGCGGATTCTGGCAAAGCCGGCGTAAGTTCGCTATCCACATCGCCGGGCTCATGCGGAGAGATCTGTGGGCTGTACTGCAAAGCCATGGCAAGAGGTAGCCGAGCTGATAGATGAGAGGGCTTCGGCTTGTTCTACGACTCCAGAGCTTGACATCATGGCGGCCAGGGTTTAGATTCAAGTCGCGGGTAGCCAGCATGCTGTTACCCCACGGCCCCACACGAGTTAGGGTGCAGGCTCTGCTGAATGCCAAAAGCAACGCCCGCTCTGCGCATGTGGACACATTTCCCAAGAAGCCCAAGACCCTACACTCAAGGACAACGGCAAACTAAAGATCACCGGATATGTTGTCTAGAATGAGCGTTGTTTCTTCCATTTTGTAGCGTAACATCATGCTACCTTATAATACGTATAAAGTATAACTATTGTATAAAACACTTTAAATCAACGTCCCCCGACCCCCCCCGCCCCAGCTTTCCCAGTGCATCCGAAAGATCTAAACAGCCGAGGCGCCCATCTGCTGATACTGCTGGTGCTGTTGCTGCTGGTGCTGTTGCTGCTGCTGACGGCGAGCCTCCCCAGTCGCTGCACATTAGGGTTTAGGGCTTCTGGCTTATGAGGCTTGAGGGTTTTTGTATAGGGCTGCAAGCTAAAGCATCGAGTGGCTTAGGCTGCGGTGCCGCAGCTTCGCAGAGTTAGATCTCTATAGGGCACCGAACATCACAGCCACCTCCTGTCACAGCAGGACTCTTGGGCGCTGCACAGTCTCAAGTTCAGTCCGCTTGGCGGGATCAGGGCTTCGCTCTTGCACTTAGGGCTTCGGGCTTAAGGTGCACGATCCTCTCTTGGACTTGTTGAGGATGGGAACTGCGGGACAGAAAGTCTCATCAACGACTCTACGCTCTGGAAACCATACGCGATTTTCGGAAAGGGTGCTCAGGTGTCTAAAGAATGATAAAGCCCGCGCCCGAACGACGTCATCATATCAAAGAAGCGACAACAAGTACAGAGTATGGCAAGAATAGTAAGAATTAGATAAGCACCAGAGGATCAGGGCGGAATGGTTGCTGCTCGCCGATTTGACCCGCCTCTGCACCAAAGGGTCCATACATGGAGATGTTGCTTCTGGAAAGTAGCAACCGCGCAAGGGTGCCGGAATCAGCCGCAATGCCCATCCCAGGGATATGAACCTGCCAAGACATTTGGGCAGTCTACCCTCTCCCCCTTCCCCCTACTGGGTACACTTCTCAGGCTATGCTTAATGTTGCACTCGCTTTAGTTTCAGGGGGCGCTATTAAGCGTTTTTCTCGAAAACTTATAGTATAGGGGACCCCGTTGATGAGGGTGGCCCTCAATTATGCGATGTTGCCGGGCCGGGGATGAAGGGCGGGGGGCCGGGGAGCCACAAACCAAAAAACTTTTGAATAAGAGTTTTTTGGTGTCCAACTCTATTTAAATTCCAACAAAAAATCATTACGGAACAGGTTTGAAACGGAGTAGCCCACGAGCTGCCCTGATTCGCGTTTAGCAATTGTTTCGGTTATCCGCCTTAATCCGAAGCCCCCCTGGCCAGGGAGCTACAAAGCCTGGAAAGCTTAGACCCTTAAGCTTCGAGGCTTCCCCTCAACCCTCGACCCCTAGCCTCCCTACCCCCAGCCCCTGTCCCAGACCCCGAATCCACAAACGGTTCGCCAGCCTGAGATATCACCGCCTCTTGCGCGTTTGGGTCCTCTCAGAACCAAACCGGAGCCCTCGAAACGCTTGACTGACACCTAAACCCGAACCCCAAGACAACTCGTGCCGAAGGTCTCCGAAGTTCTACATATTGTAGGACACTGAGAGGGACAACGGCTTTCCCATATCCCCCTCCATGTTGAATAAACGACCAACGTCCTACACTTGCCACAGGTCCCCCAGGTTTTGCAGGTTTATCGACTGAACTCTAGGATACTGAGTCGAAGAAACTAGCTACAAGGAGCTTGTGCAAGGATTGCACATGGCTGGGGGGCTTCTAGAAATAATACATAAACAACCCGTGAAGCTTGTAGGTGCGGTGCCATGTGGTTTTTGTTTTTGCACACGGTTACACCGTTCAATGGCAAGCATTCTTGACATCCTCGGCGAGAAGCTCAAGAAGCCTTGGCCCTTGATAAGGCCTCCCAAAACCCTAAACCCTAAACGCTAAACCTAAACCGTAAACCCTAGAACCTGTGCCGCGTGACGAGCAGGTCCTTTTTCTTGGCTGCGAACACAACTGGCTTCTGTCGTCCGCCTGTTCCCACACGCTTTGTTGGGGTTTTAGGGTTTGGGGTTTAGACCGAGCCATTTCTGGAGGCCCGAGATTCGGGCACAAGAGGGAGGTGCCTTCCTCCGGAGAGATGTGGAACGTTCTGACTGATTGCCTATTCCCTGCCATGTGGACATGCAGTTCAGCTATGCGGGCGGCAAAAAAAAACCCTAAACCTGAGTGTCAGCTAGGCGGGTGGCAAAAAAATCCCTAGGGTTTAGGGTTTAGGGTTTAAAGGTCCCTCTCTCTCTTAAACCTTGGGATGTTCCCCCTTTTGCTAGCAGTCCGTAATCGGGATTACTAGTACCCCGTACTAGCATCTGTTAAGGACTGTTAGTATAAGGGGGAACATCCCAACACTTAAATTAACGTCTGCGGCACTTGTGCAATTGCAACTCCGACACTTGTGCCCTGCGAAAATGATGTTTGCATTGCATGTAGAAACATGTCTAACGTAAATGTGAAATCGTACGTACGTGTGGCAGAGTCATCCTAAACCCCCAAAAAGCCCAAGACTTTCAAAAGCAAGCCCCAGAAGAGCGAACACCCCCAAATGCCAAAGAAACACCCCAACCTTAAACACAACACCGCTAAGACAGAGCGCCCACGTCTTCATCAAGTTCCTGCACCCCAAAACACGGACCCTAACTGGCACTATGGCTTCTATGAAATCCTTATTCTAGCTTAGTTCTCTAAACCCTAAACCTTCTTTAAGGCCAAACTGCACTGTGACCCTAAACCCTAAACCCTAAGCCCTAAACCCTAAATCCTAATCATCCCAGCTCAGGGGCCTTTCGGAGATTCTGGCTCACGGCTCCGCGGGTGCGACGGCGCGGCACCCTGGGAACTCGGGGCATCGCAGTACCTACCATCAGGGTTGCGGTTTAGGGTTTAGGGTTTAGGGTTTAGGGTTTAGGGTTTTAGGGTTTAGGGTTTAGGGTTTAGGGTTTAGGGTTTAGGGTTTAGGGTTTAGGGTTTAGGGTTTAGGGTTTAGGGTTTAGGGTTTAGGGTTTAGGGCTCCCAGGGTTGCGTTCGCGACTTGTGCATTGGGCGCTGCCTGAGTGTGGGCCTGATGGTGCTTTGTGCGAAGCGAGCCCGGCACAAGTTGTGTTAAGTTATACTGTTCGGTTCAGTACTCAGTGCTCGGTGGGAAGAGTTCCTTGGGATTGAAGTGGGGCTTCAAGTGGCGCCAAGGCTCTGCGCTATGCGTGGTTAGATTCTGGACTCCGGATTCCCTCGTCCCTGAACCTCGAAGCCTGCGCATAAGACCCATGGATTGGGATGTAACTAACAGTCCTCAATAGGGATTCTAATAGGGGTACCATAATCCCTGTTGTGGACTCTTAGTATAAGTGGGAACATCCAAATTCATGCAACTTTCCTGGCCTTGTCACACTGCCGGGAGTCAACTCAACGCTGCCATTCAACATGGGAACCATGCGGAGATTCCTCACGCTGCCCCTAAACCCTAAACCCTAAACCCTAAACCCTAAACCCTCATGTTGGTAAGATTCGACGCTCGCGAGAGCGGACAGAGGCCCCGCGATTTCTGGCTAGGCGCTCAGGGCTTAAGGCGAAGGCTTTCGTGACGCGATGGAGAAGATCAAGGACTGGTTGTACCCAAGAGCAAAGCTGTAGGGCTTTCAGGAAGCCTGATGGGGGGGTGGGGTGTTATAGCCATGTGTGGTTATGTGAGGCCTGAAAGATGTGGGGGCCCTAGCGAGCTCCAACAGTCTTTGCTAAGGGCAGAGGAGCCCCCCATTTGTATCCCTACTTGCGGTCTGTTCCAACAAGCTCAAGCATGAGGGCCCCCTTCATAGGCGACTTTCACAGTCGCGCCGCTGAACAGAAAAAAACCCGGTACAAGCCAGGAGGGACCCTCAAGGAACCCCTTCCCTCCTCAAAACGGCTTCGGAATTCTTAAGTTAACCCCTAAACCGTAAGCCAGCTAAGCGAGTAATTCAAAACACGATCCGTATGGCTGCCAAGCTTCTTCCTCGGGCGACCTGCTTTGGCCGATCTCTCGTGGAAGTTCTCAGTCAACTGGGCTGCCGAAGGCGCCTGAGAACATCTGGTACTTTCCACAGATTCGGGGTCACACATAGGGTATCCTACCAACAACTGATTAGAGCAAGTTGAGGTGCATAAGGCGTACGCCGACATGTAGGATCGCCCCTCATTCCGTACTCAGAACCAGTAAGAAACCCCCCCCTAAACCCTAAACCCTAAACCCTAAACCCTAAACCCTAAACCCTAAACCCTAAACCCTAAACCCTAAACCCTAAACCCTAAACCCTAAACCCTAAACCCTAAACCCTAAACCCTAAACCCTAAACCCTAAACCCTAAACCCTAAACCCTACCCCCCCCCCCCCACACCTTCTGGGGAGTGTGGCCATTGAGCGACGCCGACACCTTTGGCCCGTGGCTCGCAGGGCTGAGCTGGCTCTGTGCCTGTGCTCAAGGGTTTAGGGTTTAGGGTTTAGGGTTTAGGGTTTAGGGTTTAGGGTTTAGGGTTTAGGGTTTAGGGTTTAGGGTTTAGGGTTTAGGATTACAAGGGCTCTTAGGTGCTGAGTTCCCTTGCGGAAAAAAAAGGTTCACCTTTGGGTTTGAGGGGGTAAACCCTAAACCCTGAAGCCTAACCCCTAAACCCTAAACCACCCCAAAAGGTTAAAGGTTACCCACCCAGCACCTAAGGTCTTAGAGTTTCGGCCGTTTGCTTTGATCTGGGGCTTGGGGACCGTCTTGGTGTCGAGGGGATGCTGGTCGGGGGAGCTTGGGCTTTGTTAGGGGTTAAGGATTTAGGCTTTCTAGGGGTTGTACCTCGGACCCTTAAGTTCGTACCCTTGGGTTTTGGGGATCCTTTTACAAGTATGAGGGCCATATTACCTCTAATCCCTAAACCCTAAACCCCAAACCCTAAACCCTAAACCCCAAACCCTAAACCCTAAACCCTAAACCCTAAACCCCAAACCCAAAACCCTAAACCCTAACGTGCGTTTCTCGGCGGGTTTATAGAGCCTAGAGTCGAGCCGAGGATGCTGAAGGTTTTGGCTTCTGGCTTCTGTGGGCTTCATGGTTGGCAAGTCGTGAGTTTCTGTTGAGTTCTTGTTTTAGGGTTTAGGATTTCGGCAGCCAGTGCTTCAGGGTTCCTTGGCGGCTTTCATCGGAAGGGGCGAACCTGCGAATTTTTGGGCGGTCGTTGCTGGATTCAGATACAAGGCCAGGCTACAAACGAGATGTAATTCATCCCTAAACCCTAAACCCTAAACCCTAAACCCTAAACCCACTTCACCCACCATGGAGAAGGCTTGCATGATCACATTTCTGTGTCTTACGCGCCTGCTGCATGTGCATTTGCAGGTCGACTTCTCTCTCTTTCTCCACGGCCTCCCGGGCCCTTGATATCCCTGTGCCAACCCCCGCCCCACACACACAACACGACCACCCCTACCCCTACAAGCTTTACCGCAAACAAAGGCGTCTCATGGACGTGTGAAGAAAACTTGACACATGACACACTGGCCAGCATGACAGCACCCAACTCTACGAGGCCAATCTAGACCGAGACAGTGGAGGATTTCGACAGCCTGACATCATTCCACAGGCAGGATGTTTAACATTGTTTAGGGTTTAGGGCCCTCAACTCCCCGCAGCCCCTAAACCCTAAACCCTAAACCCTAAACCTTAACCCTAAACCCTAAACCCTAAACCCCAAACCCTAAACCCTAAACCTCCCACCGAACTGTCCACCTCGAGCTTCCGTCGCAGCTCCTCGGCCGTGGCGCGCCACTGCTTTGTCTCAACCTCTCCGAGTCCCGACCTAATCCCCTCCCCCTAATATATATAACCCAAATTAAGGGCCCATGCTAAGAACCTAAACCCTATAAAACCCCAAGAACATGTAAGGTTTAATCCCCTCCCCCTAATATTTATAAACCCCCCTATCCCCTTATATTGAATACCCCCATAATGTAACTTTAATGGGGGGATGTTTCATACTAGTGGGTAGGGGGGGGGGGGGTTAATATTAGGGGTAGGGGGGGGTTATATTAGGGGGATGGGATTAAACCTTACATGTTCTTGGGGTTTTATAGGGTTTAGGTTCTTAGTATGGGCACTTAATTTGGTAAACCTTTGTATGGTACTCCGGACAACACAGGGGCCCATACTTCAGAACCCTCTAAGAAAGGTAAGGATCTCCCTTCGTAACCTGTGATCTATGAGCCTATGTTTCTCTAGTCTGGGCTTATTTGCCCTCCTGCGCAACTGGGCAGGGCAGGGTTCTAGGGTTTTGGGTTTGCTTGCTTTGTTTGCCACCTTTCCAGAGGGCTTTGGGTTCAGGCTTGGCCTTATTGGACGCTCCGAATAATGAGCCTTTTCAAGCTAACACAACAAGGGGAGAATGTTCCTGAGCTACAAGGCTAGAGGCAAGGGCCTCTCGGAAAAAAAAGTATGATTGGCCCTGTTCAGCAAAGCGACACGCTGCCTGCAATTGGAAGCCGGCAGAGAAAGTGCTAAGATCTCAAAAGCAGTCCCTGGCCGTCTTCTCCAGGCCCCCTCCCCCCGGGAAACTGAAAGATCCACCCAAGCCTCATCCCGAAACCCTTTTTTCTTGAACCCGGAGCTCTATCCAATCAGCCGGGGAAACCTAAACCCTAAACCCAACACCCAACCTCCAATGCCGCTTGTTGCGCCTGGGCCTCTTTCCTTGGACGGCGCAGGGTTTTGTTTTGCTGTAGTTGGGCTGAGGCTTGTTGGAGGTTGTGAAGCTTACTGGGTTGGCCTGCAAATGTGGGCTCAACCCCTCAACAGCAGAAACAGCCAAGCCTGATTCCTGCACCACACAGAACGTACGGCACCGAGGAACAAAATCATCGATCAGTGTCCGATGTGCCAAGAACCTCAACCCTAAAAAAGCCTTTTGAGCAATGGACTTAATTACCCTAACCCCCAAACCCTTTTGCCTGCCTGCCTCGCACTGATTCCCAAGCACCCTAAACCCTAAACCCTAAACTTACCCTACAAGAACATGAGCCGAGCTGCAGCTCCTTCGTGAGCCCCGCGGCTTTGTCGGCGGAGGCGCGCAAGTGTTCCACCTGATGCCTCCCGGCCAGCTCAGTTTACGGTTCAGGGTTTAGGGTTTCCAGGTTTCCAGGTTTCCAGGTAACAGCCTGAACAAGACGCCAACAACGCCGTCCGTGGAGAGAACTTCCTGACAGACATGCGAAAGACCCTGAAACTGTTCCGGATGCTCACGCTCTCGAAAACCCCGATGTCTTACACACTTTCCGACGTTTTCTGGAGATGTCACCGCCTGGCCTGTATTGCTCCACCTGGGCCTTCCAACGCTCGGCCTCAGCGCGCGCCTCTTTGGCTGCCTCCTGCTCCTCATCTAAAGCTTGAAAAGAGTTTCAGGGTTTACACAGGGCTCAGGATTCCAGGCACTGCGGATAGGTAGGGAAAGGGATTCTAGATGCTCCAGCCTCGAAGCTGAAAAGCCTGAACTAGTCTGGCATGATTCCTGACACTGCTCTCCCGTTCCTCCTGAACCCGCACTTCCATAAAGACCCCAGGAGCAGGCTCATGCCTCGCATTATCTGAAGGTATAGCTTTGAGGACCAAAAGACGCAGTCCTCTAAGAGCTGTCTCTGCGCCATGTGAAGCTCGTCAACAAGCTTGCGGCTGTCCTTCCCGGCTTGGCTACTGCTGCGATGTTCGTGCTCGTGAGGCCTTGGGGTCGTTTGGATCCATCCTTCGAATTTCTGGATGCTTACCTTTTTATATCATTTCACTTCGAACATCCCCACCCCTCTGGATACAAATACTCCGGGGTTGGGCACTCCAGGGACAGGCGTTGGGCACTCCAGGCAAAGTCTGGGGTTGGGCCAGGGACACTTTGGGGTTGGACACTCCAGGCAAAGTCTGGGTTGGGCACTCCAGGGGCACTCTGGGGTTGGGCACTCCAGGCACACTCTGGGGTTGGGCGCTCGGGCACTCTGGGGTTGGGCACTCCAGGGATGAGCGAGGAGTAGACCGGGCGAGGAGAAAAGTTCCGGGCGAGGAGAAGAGTTGACACTAACATCTAACAACGCCACACCGAGGGTGGGGGGGGGGGGAGAAAATTAAACAAACAAACAGATAAATAAATCAAAAAAAAATATATATATATATATATATATATAATACATACGTATGTATAGTTGTTTTGGCACAGGGTGGGATGTTCGGGAACAGAGCTCAGCGACGAGGGCAATATGACGAGCTTTCAGTTGCAGACCTGTCTCGACTCCACACCGAGCAGCCCTTGATTTTCATCGAGGACTGATGCTCCGGGCACTTTCCAACACAGAGGGCAATGCAAACTTTCAGCGTGCAGGCAATCGGATCTCAAGCACCAGCGAGCTCCGGAATGCTTGCTATGTACACCGAAGTAATTGCGCCAAAAGAAACCTGCAGAACCAAGGCAGAATGAATCATTTGCAAACACGCCATCTGAAGCTCGCAGCAGTGCTCAGAAGGGTCGGAGCCCCGCACAAAAGTCCCGCAAGAGGTGCTGACCTCGTCGCACTACCCCAGCTCCAGGATGTTCACTTCGTGGGAGGTCTCCTTCTCCACAAACTCTACAAAGTCAGTGGCTTTCATGTAGACAGTGGCATGGCAGGCGTTCGGATGGAAGCTCACCGTAGGGCAGCTCCCATCTTCATCTGGAGCTACCACCCGGGGGTCCAGGTGGAACTGCACCTCCGAACTCGTATCATTCAGCAAGCCGAAGGGTGTGACGCTACCCGGCAGGAGCTTCAATTTCTCCTGGAGCGCATCCGATGAAGCGAAGCCGACCTGCTTGGCAAACTTCAGCTCCTTCAGCTTGATTTCTGTGTCGACTGCGGCGGACACCAGGAAGAAGTTTTTCTTCTTGTCCCTCAAGAAAAGGTTCTTCATATCCAGAGGAGCGCGGCCACCAGCTTTCTGCGCGCGAGGGCAGAGCTGCTTCGCTTGCTCGCAGGTGTAGACCGGCGCATGCAGGCTGATCTCCAGCATGGGCTCTGGCAAATCTGCGCAGCCGTACTTGCCGAGAAAGAAAGGCAGGAGCCGTTCCAGGCAGCATCCAAGCTGCAAGTTGAGAAACTCCAGCGTCTCGGGCGAGGTCTCCTGCTCTGGGTTGGTGTCATCCGCATGGTCCATGGACAACAGCAGCCAAGGACAGTCGTCGCTGGAGAGCTTTAGCTTGGACAGAGCGGACCGCAACACGTCTGAGGAGGACGTCATGGGCACGAAGTGTGGAGCTTCCGACTTTGGGGTGAGGGGGGGGGGAGTGAGGGAGTTGGGCGTTCCTTGTTGAGATGCCTTGGGCCGAAGCCTAGAGTTGAGGCTTAGGTCAAGACACCAGACACAAGCCCGAAACCCTAAATATCCCCTGCTGCGAAAGGATCCTCACAGAATTTTTCAGGTCGGCCAAACCTTTACTCCCAAACGACAGACCTTAAAGTCTTAAAACCGAAAGCCCCAAAACCTTCAACCCTGGACCCTGCATGACAAACCCAATAGTCCGAAGCCTATAGAGCTGAACCCCTGAGCCCAAGCCGCACTCAGCGCTCACTCTGGTATCCGAGCAGTGAGGGTCTAGGGTTTAGGGTCAAGATGCCCGCTAAGCCCTAAACCCTAGACCCTAAACCCTAAACCCTCAATCCCAAACCCTTAACCCTAAACCTTTTAGGGCAAGCCCTTGATGAAACCCTTTTGCCCCCGAAACCTTCACGAGATGTCCCACAGCAGCCTGAACCCCAAACCCTTTTTGCAACAGGCTTCGCACTTCGCCTGGATTGCCCTTACATCCCAACCTCCTCGACTGTGTGGCGAAACCCTGGGGTTTAGGGTTTAGGGTTTCGGGTTCAGGGTTTAGGGTTTCGGGTTTAGGGTTTAGGGACCCTAAACCCCAAACCCCACAGCAGCCACAATCCTTCCGGATGACGCGGTGCCGGTAGGCCTCCAGCTTAAGGTTGGCCCACTCCTGATCCTTCTTGGCCGCCACCTGAGTACCAGGGCTATCGACCCGAAGCCTGCACCCGAAACCCAAAAAACACATCGTGAAACCGCCCCGTTAGGATTTTTCGATATGGGGGGCTTCAGGTCTAGGTGGAGGGGGAAGTAAAAGCATTCACCGAGAAACCAGCTTGAGGACTTTGCGGGTTGAGCTCGGGCTTTCTGATCGGAACTTCACCAAACTTGGGTTCCTCGAAATCGTAGAGTTTCATCAATTTGGTGGCCTGGCTTTGGGCTAGGCTTTCTTTCTCAAGATGGGGATGTCAGAGCTCAACTTTCTTCCAGGGAGTTCAGCCTGGTTTTTGTTCGTGTTTGTAGGCATGTGGCTGCAAAGAGCGCCTAGGGTTGAAGGCTTCAGGGCAAAATGCTTGAGAATTAGGGGTTTATGGTTTTGGGAAGGCTGCACCACAGGTTGTCTTAACAAAGCTAAGCATCTTCTACCATACTTTTGTGGCCTGCTGTTTTCACGAGCACTGCAAGCCCTTCGCCCTTTAAACCCTGACACTCCACACCCCCCCAACCCTGAACCCGAGCAGAAGACCCAAACGAAGATTTCAAAGCCCAAAGAGCATTTCTCAGCATCAGCAGCTCCTTTTCCGCTGCCTCCTTGCTCTCAAAGTCAAGGAGGATCTCACCAGGCTGGGCCTGTCATTCGGGTTTACTCGGCGCTGTCTCTGAGTCTGAGCAACTGAGCAGGGTGTTGGATTTCGGGGTTCGTGGGATGGAATTTGATTTTTTTGCTTGGGGGACGGGGGGGGGGGGGAGAATTGTACAGCTTTCGACTCTCCGACTCGCGCACGGCAGGCAAGGCTCCGGTAGGGGAACTGACGTCAACCGGAGCACAAGAGTTTGACCCCAAGAACTTTGAAAGTGGCTCAATCATGTAAGAACGTCGCGTAACGATTGGAGGCTCGCCATTACCTTCGGACGGACATAATCGATTATCCACCTCTTCCACGGAGAGGCGTGCGCTTACCATACTATTTACCTCCTCACATCGTCAAGAGTCTGGTGGGTGAGAAAACGAGCCCGACAACGCAACGTCACACCACGCAAGAAGCCATCGCATGCTTGTGTTCCCCAGCAGCATCGATTACATGACAGGCATACATAAACAAACAGACTTGGATGCCATCCTATACCGGTTCCCGCTGCCGAAAACAAATTAGGGGTTTACGAAAGTAGGGGGCCGCCAATATAGATCCCCGAATAATAGGATCCCCTTATAATAATATGGACCCCAATAGGGTACACCCATTTTCGAAAACCCCCAATTCTGTGCACCACGCCTGGAGGCCGGAGGGCGGGGTGGTTGACGGCGGGGTAGTAGACGCCGACATGCTGCCTTGCCCCTGTGCAGCGCTTCTTACCTCGAATGCAGCAAGGTGACTCAGCATCACTAAACTGTATATACACACTCTACATGATATGACGATGATAATTAGTATTCAAGAAGTCTATATACACAATATACATGATATTCTGATGATACATAATGATTAGTATTAATAACTTGTATATATATATATGTATAAACACTATATGCATGATATTATGATGATAACTAGTTCTGAGGAACTATATATATACATACATACACTATACATGACATTATGACTGGCCTTGCTGGCCTCTCTGGACCGTTTAGCGTGCGCCCAACCCGAAGCCCGATTCCGAGCTGCGCTGTTGAGGTCCACGGACCGCTGTCGACCGTGGCCCGTCTTGCCTCCGGTCACGAATGCCTTGGCTGGGTTTAGGGTTAGGGTTTAGGGTTTCAGGGTTGCAGGGTTTAGGGTTTCAGGGTCGCAACTTCCTTGCTGAGTACGTCGTAGGGACGGAAGATTCAGGGTTGGCGGCGACTTGGCGGGTTGCGGGCTACATGTGCTCGTTGACTGCTGAGCCTGTGACATTGAGCAGCAGCCTGGGTCTTTAAGGCTCGCCTCATGTACACTGTCCATGGCTGCGTGCAAACTGCCTGCAACCCAACGTGTCCCGCACCTGAACCATCATAGCAATTACAAAGACCTGTCAAGTCTAAGACGATGAAACTCGACACCCACACAGGTCTCCTGGCAAGGCACCCTATTCCGAAAATCTTTCTGATGGTCGTTCCGCATATGGCGTCCGGACCGCAGCACTCCACGACGCAAGCTCTCGTCGCTGCTGGGAGGTGCCACTGCCCGAATTGCCACAAACTAACTTTCAAGCTTGATCCGAGATTCATGCGCGCTCGGCATTCTCAACGTTGCACAGGTCCATGCTTTGTTGCACATTCCCTGCCAACCTATGACCCCTGCAGACCAGAATTACCATTACTGCAGAGTTCGATGAACTCGAGACCACAAGTGCCGCATGTAGATAACATCCAGCACTTCACCAAAGTTCGCATCGACAAGGGGATGGCTGCCCCTGACTCCACACCGCCCAACCTCAGAGGCCGCCTTCTCATTCATTCCGGTTGAGTCGCTTCACAGCCACAACCAATCGAACACTCCCCCCCTCGGCAACCACATGACGCAGCCCTGAGACCCCGTACGTGTTGGTCAGGCGTCTGCTTTGAGAGATGTTGCCGGCTCTCCACCCCATCCGGCCGATGCTACTGGTGACACACACACACACACTGTCCGAGCTTTGTATTGGAATTTTCTTATTTTATTTACTCTATCTTTTTGTGTGTTGTTTTTCTCTCCTCTCTTTCTCAAAAGACAGATAGATGCATACTCATAGCATGTGTATCTCTCTCTCTCACACGTGCACATACATACATGCACACATGCATACACATGTTCAGGAACTTGTGAACTGGTGACTGTAACGCCCTTAATACTGTAAACGTGATCTGGCTACAGGCTACCCCTGCTAGCCAAAAGAAACAACCACATGATCAACAAGAACCGCCCACAAACAGCGACTACATAAACACAGACGCAACACAACACCTTCAACTGCTCTCTTCGCTCTTGCAAGCACGGGTGCGCGATGTTGTAAAACATGTGCAGCACATGTCTGTGCGGAAGAGCCTGGTCCACAAGCTGGATGTTGGGCAACTTTGCAATGGAAAGAGGCCTTCCAATTGCTGCGGTGTAGTAAACGCCAAAGCCACGCAGTGGCTCAGGTCGTATTCGTGGGCTTCAATTTCGTGTTTAGGCTGTGGTCTAAGCCGAAACCTTCACCTCAACCAAGTTCGCGATGTTCCGCAAGCTACTCCTCTAGGACGGTTCCTTCTTGCGACCGGCATGTGTACAGGGCATAGAGACAGGACAGCCCAACAAAACCTTGAAGGTTGTTTCGGGTTTATGGGTCGGCAGGTTTCATACGGGGCAGGCATGACAGGGCATCTAAGGGACCCCAAAAGGGCTTAGGATTCATGTTGCCTTAGCAGGAATTCTGTGACCCCCCAAGTTTAGGGTTTAGGGTTTAGGGTTTAGGGTTTAGGGTTTAGGGTTTAGGTCAAGTAGGCCGCGAACTTGGCCCTGCAGGAGCCATGCCAAGGCCATCGTACGTCCCAAAACATAAACAGGGCCAGCCCCTAAACGGGCCTAATTCCTGAACCCTAAGTTGAACCCTAAACCGCCTAAACCCTAAACCCTTCTCACGGCTAGGACTGCTGCACTGCCTGCCCTAAACCCTAAACCCGAAACCCTCTGCCCGAAACCATGACCTTCGAACTGGGACGCCCGCCGAGTCTGCTCACTGAGATCAATCTCTGCAAGGGAGATCCTTGGCGAGAGAGACTAGACCCTTTTGTTTTTAAGGGGATGATGAGGGAACCCCAAGCCTAAAAAAGAGCCTATTCCGGGTCCTAGGAGAAGGTTGAGAATACTTCGAAGGGGTACCGACGTGTTCGTCTAACCATCTAGAGCCCAGATCTTGCACTCCAATTGTTCTTCGGCCGGTGCGAGGGGTTGGCCTGGAAGTGTTTAACAATTCAATACTAGAGAGGCGAGAGTTTGTCATTCACAAGTCCTGGACCCGGAAATCATTTGGGCAAACTCTGGCCCGGAACTGAAAACTTCACAGCCCTGAGCCCTAAACCCCGCCCAATAATTACATTCAATAATACATTGGTTCTCGACCGACCTGGCCCTGAAGGCACGTCATGTGAAAAAAACGAAAGAAATATAACCAACCCATAAGCCTCGTGGGCCCTCTTCTTGTCTAACCCCCCCCCCCCCCCTCCACAAAGCAAAAAAAAGACATTGTACCCTAAACCCTAAACCCTAAACCCTAAACCCTAAATAACCCTAAACCCTACACCACCCTAAGCCAAAGCCAAGATGTCTGGGAGTCCCCCACATCATGGCAGCCTCTCCGCTCTTATTGCCGGCCTCGTCAGGGCTGGTGGCTGTTGTTGGGGTTAGGGTTTAGGGTTTAGGGTTTAGGGTTTAGGGTTTAGGGTTTAGGGTTTAGGGTTTAGGGTTTAGGGTTTAGGGTTTAGGGTTTAGGGTTTAGGAGGTTTGAGGTTCAGGGATTTCGGCTTTCTTGGCACATGGGTACACTTCTTCTGTTTCTGGGCCATCAGGCGCTGGTCTTGGGTGCTTGCAGTCGTCCAAATCTTAAACCCCATGGTAGCCCAGTTGCCACATAGGGTTTAGGGTTTAGGTACTTTATAAGGGAACCTAAAAGGTACTGTATAAGGGAACCCAAAAGCAAAACAAGGGCAATTGGGCACGGCAATTGGGCACCACTGGGCTACCAAGATCCTGAACCCAAAAACCTTTGCAGCAGGCTTGGAAGGGTACGCCCGGACATGAAAAACCTAAGTCCAGAATAAGGTTTAGGGTTTCGGGTTTAGGGTTTAGGGTACAAACTTCCGGCCCGGTGTGCTTTCCAGGCTGTTGCCCATGACACAGGCCCAGAGATTTCGCATCTTTGAGGGTTCAGGGTGGGGGGCTGTTAAAGTTAGGGTTTAGAGTTTAGGGCTTAAAATTCGTGGCCGACTATGTTGCTGCATACAGCCTGAAAACTAATGAATTCACAGCCATGGATACCTGACACTGACTTGCCATAGGCCTTCGCAAAGTTTGCCTGCGCTTCTTCGGCAAACTGCCGCACGGAGTTCAGGGCCTGCGAAAGCAAAGCTTAACCAGGACAAGCACCTTTGCGTGCTTAAGGCTGGTTGGACTTGAAGTTCCTCTACTTGTAGCTATAGGTATTTGGCACTGGAAAGTTGGCACCTCAGTTTGAATGCGACGACGCTGGCACTATGGCCGTGGAGGAGGGCCACCTCTGAACCGGGAAGCCCCTGAACCCGAAACCCTAAACCCGAAACCCTAAACCCTAAACCCAAACCCTAACCCTAAACCCTACTCTGCATTACCCTCGCCAAGCACGCCCAGGATTCCGCTTACAGGCGATACCCTGTCACCTCGGAGGGCTTAGGGTTTGGGATGTTCCCCCTTCTACTAAGACTCCTTGATCGGGAGGGTTTAGGGTTTAGGGTTTGGGGTGGGACTATAGTACCCCCGACTCTAATCCCCCTTGAGGACTGCTAGAAACAGGTGGGAACATCCCAAGTTGGGGGCACATGGCCTGTGAAGCCAACTTTCGGCAAGCACACAGAGATATCCAGAAAAGGTTGGCACGGCCTCTTGCTGTTGAATGGCCAGCATACGCTTGCCATCCACGACGAGGCGCAGCACATCAGGGAGCGCCCCCCTCGGTAGAGCCGTGGGAGCCAACCCCTACAGCCATCAGACCTGGTGAGATCTTGGGGTAGTTCATGGTCCCTTAATCTGGGTCCTGAAACGGGACCGATATTAAGACCCCTGAAAACCCCATGCAACCCCGTACTTCAGAACCCCATTTGAAGGAGGTTGCTTGTCAGACAGGCCAGGCATGTGGCGTGACTGCGCGAATTTAGCGGTGCTTGTTTGGATCTGGTACAGAATGTATAATTTTGAATGCCAGCGACAAGACTGGGCTCCTGGCTCGCCGTCAGGGCCCAACCCCTTGAAGATGTCTAAGGCCTAAGCTGTGGGGGGGGGGGGGGGACAATTGTGGTGCCTCAGAGGATGCAAACACGTCGTGAGTGAAAGCGATCAAAGTTCAGGGTGGGTCGGGGCCTTCTGTCCGCGGAAGTGGAGAATGGGTCCCAGTGTTGCGTGCCTATTTTTGTGACGTTCTTTGCGTTGGAGATGGCCCAGGAAGCCCGAAGCCCTTGTTGAGAAATCTGGACTGCAATACCAGATCCTTAAACCCTAAGCTCCCTGCGGCGGTCGCAGCCTGCAAAAGTGAACAGAGGCGCCCCTACATGTCGAGCCTAGAGGCGTTGCAGGGCAACAGAGTGATGAAGCTTAGGGTTTAGGGTTTGGGGTTTCGAGGGCTCAGGGAAGGTACAAACAGCTCATGAAGATTCAAGCAGGGGTTGGGGGTTCAGGGGGTTCCAGGGTGACAAGGTCCCAGGCAAGTCGAGGTAGAACTCGGAGCCAACCATTGGGATGCCAAACCCTAAATAAACCCAACATCCTCTGAATTCCAGCATGTTTAGGGATGCAACAGTAGTTGTTTTTTTGTTTTGCTTTGGTGCACTTCGAGGATTTAGGGCTCCGATGCCTGCACGCCCTGCTGAGCATTGCCGACCTGAACATCGCAGGGGCTGGGTTGCTGCACCGCCGGCGCCAAGAACCCGCACGAATTTAGGGGGTACCAAGCCCTTACAGCAAGCAGATCTACAGAGACTACGCTGGATGTATGTGCAATGCAGCAATGCAGGAAGTAGACTAAAGTGGACTATGTATGCATGAAACAACTTTATGCCGAACCTCGAGGGCCAAGTCTGGCTCTCACGTGTCTTGTTCTGACTGAAAAGTGCGAAGAACAATACGACCAAATCCGATAACCCCTTGAACCAAACATTTTGACACTTGCAACTCAAATATCCCGGGCAAAAGCACATGGGTCTTTGTCTGCCTATGTCTGCCTTCACCTACACGCCGAGGGTCCCTAAGTCCTAAACCCTAAACCCTAAACCCTAAACCCTAAACCCGAGCCTTGAGATTCTTCTCTGCGGCCGTCACCAGGGATGCGGCCTCGCCCGTGGAGCACAGGGGAAGGGTGTCAGACGGATGCAAGAAGGCATAGTTTTAGGGGTTTAGGGCTTTAGGGTGTTAGGGTTTAGGGTTTTAGGGTTTTAGGGTTTTAGGGTTTTAGGGTTTTAGGGTTTTAGGGTTTTAGGGTTTTAGGGCTTTAGGGCTTTAGGGCTTTAGGGCTTTAGGGCTTTAGGGCTTTAGGGCTTTAGGGCTAGTTAGGGCATGCACGGCTCAAGGTCACACTCTTGGAGAAGTGTTGCGGGGCGGAGGCGGTGACACGTCCAGTCAAGCGGACCTTGCTTCTGCAGCACAACCCACAACGAAGCGTTCCCACGCAGCCTCTTTCTTGTCTGGCATCTCGGCTGTCCTGGTGGAAGTTCGAGGCCAAGCTCACACAACCCTGACGATAAACACGAGCGCACATGGGAGAGAGACGAAACCCATCTTTTGGTCGTGCTGTCTCAGCTTCTACACAATGGTCGGACCCTATTACAGGCAGCCTTCATGAGCCCTCTTTGTAGTACGTTCGCATAGAAAACTGTGTTGCTTAACCTGCCGACATGTAGGCGCAGTGGCCTAATCGGCAGCCCCTCACCGCAAGCGGTATGTTGTGTGAACAATAGCAGCATTCGGCGTGCGGGTAGTGATGATGCATGGGCAAGCCAGTGCCCAAAAAAAAGCCTCGTGACATCTTCAATCCTGAAATCCCTGTTGCTGATCCCTAGTTTCCATGCCTTGTACCTCAGATCGATGTCGCCGCGGCCCGGAACCCCCCTGCAGCCGCCCCAGAAGCAGGGCTGCCGCAAGCTTCGAGCCAAGCATTGGTCCAGCTTGTGTTTGAGATTCGGGGTTCGGCCGTTTGGGGGCTTGGGAGTGAGAGCTGTGCTTTAGGGTTCAACTGGGAAACATTGGGATGGTTCGGGCATGCGGGCTCTGCTCGGTCTTGGCGGGCACAAAAAAACCACACGCGAATCCTCATCCCTCTTTCCGCCCTGAACCCTGTCCAGCAGGCTCTCTGAACCCAGGCCCGAACGAAATTACGAATTTCTCAACCCGACAGTTCTGTGGGACGATGCGTCCTCTGTGCTTCCCTCTGAGCCCGAACCCTTGGGGACCAAATGACCCCTAAAGGGTTTATGGTTCGTTCATTTGGTCCTCAAGGATGTTCCCTTTTTCCTCAGCCGAGACCTGCGGCTGCACCCCCGGCGCCAGCAATCTCTCGAAGGAGTTGCAATTCCTCCATCGTAGGCGCCGGCCTGCGTCATCCACCACCAGGCCTGGGCTTTAGGGTTTAGGGTTTAGGGTTTAGGGTTTAGGGTTTAGGGTTCAGGGTTCAGGGTTCAGGGTTCAGGTTTAGGGTTTAGGGTTCAGGGTTTAGTCAAAAGGGTTGAGGGTTTAGGGTTGCAACCTGTGCAGGACTCATGAATGCATCCTTCAGGGAAAACCTCGAGTTCCCGTCCATCTTCGGCACGCTATGCCAACCCGAAACACAAGAAGCAAATACTGAACGTGAGCATTTGTAAGCTTATCAGGCCCCACTATGTCACTATGTCGTGGCTATGTTGGGATGTTCTGCCTTATACTAACAGTCCTTAATAGGGATTATACTAGGGGGTTTTATACTCCCTGTTAAGGACTGCTAGCATAAGGGGGAACATCCAAATGGCTATGTCCCACTCATGAAGTCCGGGGAGCATTGGAGCCCAGGCGCCCCTTGAGCAGCAAACAGCAGGTCCTGCATCTTTCTGGTTCGGATCGTCACTGCTGGCGAAGAGGCTGTTAAGTCTAGGTCCTAGGCAACCTACTTTCAGGAATGGAAATGACACCCCTCCTTCCTTAAGATACTACAGCGGAACGTAGAAAGAGCTCCGAAGTTTGTTGAAATCATCTCCTTCAGGTTGCTTGCGAGGTGCTAGGAGCAGAACCCTGGTGGTTTCGACTCAAACGATCACACAGCAGGGACTCCGAAGGTCTCAATGGGTCAGGCCAGCTTCTTGATTTCTCATACAATCCCTCAACCCTCAACCCTAGGTATGGTTGATGAAATCACCACTGTCAGGCCTGTCAAGGCGTTGTAGGTTTAGGGCTCTCAAGGCTGTTTTGCCACCTGACTCGCTGCTCCGTGACAGCACGGCATGAGACTGCCGGGCCTGTTCTACATCCCACAAGTTTATAAGGACTTTTGGTGGGAGGCTGCGGGGTCCGAGACGGTGGGAGGCGAGATGTTCAAGCACGCCTGGGCGAGGTTGCAGACGCAGGAGGCTTGATGGCGAAGAGGGTTTAGGGTTTATAGGGTATAGGGTATAGGGTATAGGGTTTAGGGTTTAGGGTTTAGGGTTTAGGGTTTAGGGTGTTTAGGGTTGTTTAGGGTTTAGGGGTTTACGGAGAGTTGCCGCGTCACATGAAAAATCTTGATTTATCAGGTGCAGAATCCCAACAGGCAGTTGAAACTTTGATCGGCTTGCGGAACTAAGTTCTGCTTAAGGGAAGTATGCCTAGACCGAGTAACCCACCCCTTAGTTACCTTAGTTCCATGAAGGTCTGTGGCCTATGGTTGTTGGGCAGTGCTGTTTAGGTACACAGTTGATCCATGATGCTTCTCTTGCAGGTGGGGAGCCGACCACTTCACATTTTTCTACGAAGATTCAAGCTGCACACGTCAAAGCCTACGAGGATGTCCGCTGCGAAGGTTCAAAACACACTGAATCTGCCAGTTGCTGCTCTGGCCGGCGCGATTCTTGGCTATGGTTGATGTACACACGTTACATGCTCTTTTCGCAAGCTGGCATGTTCCAGCGAAGTGCTCCTGCAAAAGCGCGCCGTGTGCTCTCAGCGGCGTTTCCGGCCAATTTGCACTGACGTAAGCATGCATATGCACCAAAGAAGATGTGAGACTCCCCAGCAAAGTGACTGAGTTGTGCCTTAACCCCTTTGAAAACTATTTCTGATTAGGTTCCCGTATAAGGAAAGAAGGGAAATTAAAAAACTATTCCAAAGCACAACCCAGGTGACCAATGTCGGAGATAATGGCTCACGCCAAACGCCTCAACCAAACTCAATAAGAGGGAACATAGGAGGGTGCAACTTCTGCCCAAGAGCTAAGTCCAAGAGGACCAGGTCAATGTCACCCAGCATTCCGGCGAGGAAATTGACCTTTTGGAGCCAAGAGCTTCTGGGACAGTGGGGGGCCCAGGCTTTCAGGGCTTGGAAAGTTCAAAGGCTTTGGTTTCTCCCCCATAGTGTATGCTGAGTGTATGGCAACGTGGCCAGTCGAACAAGCGCATGAGGGTTTTCATGTCGTATGCGACTGAACCGGTGAAATCCAAACCCCACCAAGCAAGTGCAAAGCTCAGGAATTAATTGCAGCCCCACCCATCCGTTGACGGAGTGCTTGTGAGGTTTTTTGCTGTGCGCACAGGGTTTGGACCTCGTGTGTGAAAGAAAGACGCGCTTTGGGGTTTAAGCCGGCTCCTGAACTAAAATCCCATTTCGCCCTGTGCACGTTTGGTCTGTCCAATTGCGGAGGGATCCTAAGCAAAACAAAATGAAAAGGTCGTGGCAAACCACGTCGCCAAACTCAAATTCCGGACCAGATGCACAGCATGTGCCAACATCCTAGGTGCAAAGTCTACTTTTAGGCTGTTACACTTTTGGGTTCGGGATATGTATTTCCTGTTGCCACTACCGTGGAGTTTCGGGCCTTAGGGGTTTTACCCAACACCCTAAGCCCTAAAGCCTAAACCTCTCAAAGGCGAGCGTCCCCGTTGTCACAGAGCGACGTTCTCCGAAGCGAAAGTTGACGAACGGGGCTTCTGCCGGGCGGAGTTGAAAACTCTATTGACAACTTTGGATTCTAAGGGCTATAAGGCAGGTACTTCAAGGACTCAAACCCTCGCAAAAGGAATAGCGTCAATGGCACCTACATGCAACCCTCCGGAAGCAGCCCCAGGCACTGAAGCGTTCCACAAAACGGCATTCTAAGGGGGTGCATTGCTTTAAGAAAAAAAGAATATATATATATATATACGTTTGTATTGTCATACGAGCAGGCCCGTTCAGGACTATGCTTATTGAAGCACACGCCGGAACCTTGATGCCCCCTTGATGACCCTGACCCCCTCCTGGGCAGCTTGGCAAACAGCGTCTTCAGTGACGCTGAGGAGAGCCGCCGATTGTCCGAAAGATCCCTGACGGCGGATGCAACTGTGGCGTTCACGGCAGCCACTTGTTGGCCAAGACCCAAGCACAGAAGCTACAGGTGGATTTTGGCTGAGGGTCCACAGGTACACATTGGGATGTTCCCCCTGACAGTCCTTAAAAGGGATCATAATAGGGGTACGTTAGTATAAGGGGGAACATCCCAAGGTGCGCACATATGCCCAGGAAGTTCGAAGGGTCAGGGGGGTCGATCGTCGCAGCGTGCTGATTTTTGAGCGAGCAGCAGCTCAACGAGTCGGCATCCAGGCGCGCCCAGAATTTCGCAGAGCTGCTGAATGCTCTTGTCCTGAGATGCAGCCGCCCCAAGACTAAAAAACCCCTAGATTCTGCAGCCCTAGGGCGACATGAAGGAAAGAGCTCCTGGATAGAAAAGTCAAGCATCCAACACCTATTTGGCAAGCTGTTCATGAAGTTGGACTAAAAGGGACTGTGGAAGGGTTGAAAGAGCGCGCAGAGCTCGGGTACGAGGCCACAAGACTCACAAGACTGACCAGGTCGTCATTTCAAGATCTGCTACAAGTCAACTGAGCAGAGTTGCGCACACACGCACACATGAAACCCCGAATTCCGAACCGGCCCGTATCCCAAAATTGAAGCTTGGCGTCATTGAGAAGATTGTCGGACAGATCCAAAGCCTCCCGAACCAGGGTCTGGCGTTCTTCTACGGTCCGGGGTTCTGGGAGAAATTTAGGCCTTAAGAAGTAGATGCGGTTTTGGGGGGTTATTCTGGTATAAGGGTTAAAGGAACCATAAGGAAGTACAATTTGTAGTTGGGGAAGGCTGTTGCCCCTAGCGGCCCTAGCAGCTGCCATGCCATTAGACTTCGTCCATCCCTCACTGGAATTTCCGCAGGACTCTTACATATACATAGTTGGGCTCAGAATCAGATGACGAGCCTTGCATGCCATCTCAGGGGTTCCCCAAACATCGTGAAGACACTGCTGTTCATGGACCCAGGCCCCCCCTCAAAAGATGTGCGATCGGAGTTTAGGGCTGCTTAGGCTTATGGGCTCCCCCTTTCTTTCCCTCTAGGGGCCTAAGCCTTAGGTTGACTATTACTTGCCGAACCCCCCCCCCCCCCAAAAAAAAAAAAAAAAAATCATCCCTATGTTGCCCTTAGAAGGAAGAATCTTGTTATTCTTTTGCGGGGGGATTCCTAAGCACTTGGTAGTTGAGGTCTTTGACCGTGACGAAGACTCGCGCACCTCCACGCAGCCGCGCGAGACCAGGTCCGAGAGGCGGTCGATGTCTTTGCAGCGATTTCCCCGTAGGCCCAGGCCTGGGAGGCGTGGGGTTTAGGGTTTAGGGTTGAGGGTTTAGGGCCGTTTCGAGTTTACACATCGAACTCTCCCAGGGATCCAGGCTCTCAGGGGTCACCTCCTTCGAAAACCATGGGCCCAAATTTAGCCCACAGCCGAGACCTCGAGTTAAGGGCTTGAAGGTTTTACAGGTTGCAAACTCTGCGAAATCCCATGATGTTGCGGCCGCATGGCGCAGCGCCGTGTGGCCGCGCAAAGCGCCGCTAAGAGCCGCGATGGCCTTAAAAGACTTGAGGCTTAAGGCCTAAGGGTTGGGATGTTCCCCCTGATACAAACATAAGAGTCCTTCAATAGGGATTAGAGTACCCCCCCCTGTTATAATCCCTATTAAGGACCCTAAACCCTAAACCCTAAACCCAGCTACTTCTGAGGGCATTCCAGACAGCAAGGCATCTTCCAGAACGGCCCAGCGGCGTGGTCGCTCAGCGCGTTGCCGGAGAGCTCCAACTCCTGGGGCATCTGTACCCGCATCTTATGGGGTTAGGGTTTAGGGTCTAGGGTCTAGGGTTTAGGGTTTAGGGTTTCGGGCCTCCTTTTTGGATAGCACCCCTAAGCTCAGCGGGTTTAGGGATTAGGGGTTATAGGGTTTAGGGCTGAAACGTGGCAGAACTCAAAGGATCGCTGTGAGATGCTGCGGGCGCAGGCACTCTAGGATGTGTCGATTGTTGGCGTCATTTCAAGTGGTGTCAAACGATGTACTATCGAACCATACCGAAGTCCAATATCAAAGCCCTTTGCATGGTTCAGCCCATACTGAGGCCGAGGTGTATGACAAAACCCTCAACCTTAACCTCTGAACCCTGAACCCTGAACCCTGAACCCTGAACCCTGAACCCTGAACCCTGAACCCTAAACCCTAAACCCTAAACCCGAAACTAACCCAAAAGACCTCAAAGCTTCAACCGCAAACCCTCGCCGTGGCTCGGTCAGGCCGAGCGGAAGGCTGCGCCAAAGCGGCGACCAAGCATCACTTGGCGAGCCTTGCTTCACGGCGCGGGGAGCTTAAGAACATGTAGGGTTTAGGGCTTAGGGTTTAGGATGTAGGGTTTAGGGTGTAGGGTTTTAGGGTTTATGCGGGTCTCCGTATGAAAGAGCTTGAGGGAGTAGAGTTACATGCTCCATGCTGACCAAGCAGTTTTGCTCAAGTCTGAAGTGAAGCAACTCACAACCTCAGAGCCGCTTATGAGATTGCCACAGCCACTGCCACGAAGACAGCTACTCTGCCTCAAAGGTTCCGTTAAACACTCTAAACCCTAAACCCTAAACCCTAAATCCTAAACCCTAAACCCTAAACCCTTTTTTTTGAACCCGCGCTGTGCTACTGCCTTAGACGGGAATGTGACTGCACCATCGCTCCACGATAGCACCAGTGCACATGAACAAAACTAATCAGACAAAGCCCTACCCTAAACCCTAAACCCTTAAACCCTAAACATCCCTAAACCCCTAAACCCAAATCTCCCCACATGGGCAGGGCTTTCCCAGCCGGTGTCCTACTTGGGCCCTTGTCTTGCGGACGCCGTGGTATCGCAAGGATCCGGGCAGGGACTCGAAATTTTGGAGAACCCCCCCCAACCCCCGCCCCCCCCCCCCCCCTCGGGTGTAGGGTTTAGGGTTTAGCCCCCCCCCCCCCCGGAAGTCGAAGCCCAAAGTAAGCCCAAGGTGCAGGGGCTGTGCACAAGTGCAAAGGTGCGAAGACCTGATCTTCCTTCCTCCTCAGACTCACAGCAACCCAGCTCGAAGCTCACGGATGCTTCGGGATGGCTCTTGTGACGTTTGTGCTTCGGTTTAGGGTTTAGGGTTTAGGGTTTAGGGTTTAGGGTTTAGGGTTTAGGGTCCGAGTTCTGTTTAGGAGTCTACCTCGTTCGTCTACCTCATGGCGGCAACTGCTCCAGTTCGGGTATATGAGCACTCATTGAACGACGCCTGACGGAAAGGTCTCTGGTACCTCGTACCCTGAACCACTTCTGGTCTTTTTGTTGGGGGTTCCTTTGATTGCATCCCTGCTGGATTCGGATAACCAGCCATTCTAGAATGAGAATATCGAAGCTTCGGGCAAATCTCAGGCAACCGGTAGGCGTTAGGACTCAGGGTTCAGGATGCTGTTAGGGTATTTATGGCTGAGGATTTCGGGCTTTAGGATTTTGATGTGTGTGTGTGTGCTGTTTAGGATTTCGGGCTTTAGGACTTGAGGTTTCGGACTTATGGCTTTGGACTTTTTGGATATGGGGCTCTTTCTTGGCTCCCGGAAAGCAGGGCCTCTCCAGTGATCTCCAGGTGCCCCAGGGGGGGCCATGGCTTCATGGGCCTACACATGCCTACCTCCTCCCTGATGAGGGGAGACCCTAGACCCGTTTAGGGCTCAGGGTCTAGGCTGTAGGGACACTTCCGGCAAACCCAAAACAATTGCAAGCCGGCGTCAGGCAACGTGGACATGGAGCCCTGCTCCATGCGGGCTGGCGCAGCAGAGGCCTTCGGGTTCAGTCTAGGGTTGCTTATGTTTTCTTTACGTTTTTTTTTTTTTTGACGGGGTTGTTTTGTGGTTTTAATGAGTATTTAATGGGTTGGTTTTAGTGGGGCTTCCTGTTTTTGTTGTGTTGTATTCGGGTTTTTCTCTGGGTTTTTAGGGTCTTACTAGGGCTCTTCTGCGTTGAGGAGGGCCCTTCTCCACCACTTCCCCCTGCGATTGTCGGACAAGGGCTCCATGGGGTACAGGATCGGTATTGGCGACTCTGACACCAACATGTCAGGCTAGTCTCCCTAAACCCTAAACCCTAAACCCTAAACCCTAAACCCTAAACCCTAAACCCTAAACCCTAAACCCTAAACCCTAAACCCTAAACCCTAAACCCTAAACCTTAACAAGACAAATGTTCGCCTGAAGGCCGAGCCTCCAAGACCTCAGCCACATCGTCGCCGAACCTCAATCACCAAATCAGCAAAACAAAGTTATCAGACAGCTATAATGTACCTATATTGTAGCTATCGTGTAGTTATAGGATTCTAATGAATATATAATATATACTCATATTATAACCTCAACTTTAACACACATCGGGGAAAGCCCACGCTGCCAGCCCAACACACGGCAGGGTTAGGCTTTACGCATCAAGCCGGTTTCACCGGTGTTCACAGGGTGGACAAGAATTTCTGAAGCCCTCACCAAATCGGGAGAAGGCTGTGTCGGCACGTGAAGCTTGCAGCATGCCACAACTTGAGGAAGTACAGCGCTTACAGAAATTCTGACAAACATGTTTGAGGGAGAAGCTCTCCGCAAAACATGTTCCAAAACAAAGTGCACATGCTAGCTAATTTCCTTACAAAGAAATTCTTGAAATCATAGAATGAGGTTCCATCCTCTTTGTCTGTGATCCATTCAGGGAGTGTTCAGAAACCGCTTGCACTCATACTCATCCAGGTCTTGCACCCACAAAGTGTTCCTAACAAAATGAGGCTGACAGCTGGAGCAAAAGTTTGTGCCCTCGAAGCGGAGCCGACTTGGCTCATGTTTGTCATTCAAGTTATATTGTAGCTAAAGCCTAGATTCCTGCTTGGGGGCGCTAGGCGCAGGATCTGAAGCCGGTGCTTCCAACACAAAGGAAGCTGCGAAATGGTTGCCATAACACACACAGCTCCTGTAACCAGGGGTTTTTTCGAAGTTCCTCCCTGGATCCTGTGTGAAAAAAGACTGAACCCAACACGACAAATCCTACAAGCCCCGAAGCTCGAAACAAAGTCAAGAAGCAAATCCAGCTCCAGCTCCTCCTCCTCCTCCGCTGTGCCCCCGGCCACAAGGCTGGGGTCCGCGACCTAAGTCGGGGAACCGCTTGCTTCCTTCACTCCACAAACTTCAGTGGCAACTTGGGATGTTCCCCCTTCTTCTAACAGTCCTTAATTGGGATTGTAGTACCATTGCAATCCCTATTACGGACTGTTAGTGTAAGGGCGAAAACTCCAAGGTCTGTTCAACACTTGCCAGGCTCTGCAGTCGCCCCTTCAAGCTCGATGATGGCTCTTGTCACGCAAGTTGTTTCCTTTAGGGTTTAGGGTTTAGGGTTTAGGGTTTAGGGTTTAGGGTTTAGGGTCTAGGCCGACAAAACTTGCAGAAATCTGTGGCGAGGCCAGGGCTTGTCGGACAACCCAGTATGACCTCCACGTACCATAGGGGTCGGACAATTACGAGTAGTATTGGGTTTAGGGTTTAGGGTTTAGGGTTTAGGGTTTAGGGTTTAGGGTTTAGGGTTTAGGGTTTAGGGTTTAGGGTTTAGGGTTTAGGGTATTCGCTTCTAGTCCAACAAAAATAATTCTAAAATTTTACCACGCAAAAAAGCCTACTCTAATTATTCAAACCCCTATGTTAGATCAACCCGAAAACCTTAGACCCAAGTCGCTGGCACAAGCCCGACATGAACCCCACAAGTCAAAAGACAGAAAACCAAGCGTGACCTTCATCTCAATATTCAGGTCTTACTTTTCGGCCCTAAGAACCCTGTGCCCTAAACCGCAACAAAAAATCACCTGGCACCCCCGAAATCTTAGGCTCCCACCACATCTTCCCCTCGGCCTGCCGGCAGAGGTCCAGGATTTTGAAAGGCCTCAGTCACAACACTGGCTTCAGGGTTGATAGCCACTACGTGCGGCTGGCTTAAGAATGCCGGAGGAAAACATTGAAAGGGGCCAAGTCATGGGGACAACACGTGTTCGGCGCTGGCCACCGCTCCATCAGCCTCATCTCATGTTCAACTCTTGCGCCGCGAACACACGAAACGGCGTATGGCGTATGGCAGGAACTTGGAGGAATATATATATATATATATGAATGAATCAATGCATGCATGCATGAATGAATGAATGAGTGAATGAATGAATGAATGAATGTTGAATGTGTATGTATATGTATATATATATATATATATGTATACAGACATATATACACATAGCAAAATAACTTCGAGGACCAAGGCCGGCGAAGAGTCCCCATGACAGATTACGGAAGCGTCGACTGCAGGACATAGCCAGTGCTGCAAGTCCAACACGACTCAAGGCTGAGGAGGTGGTGCATAAGACTTTATCGGTACAAGAGCCCTGCGCGAACCCTCAACCCTCAACCCTAAACCCTAAACCTTTAGCCCTAAACCCTAACCCTAAACCCTACCCCCCCCCCCCCACAAACCCGAAGCATCCCCAGACCCGCCACCCTGAGCCGGTCGAAGCAGCCAAGAAGGGCTGAGGGGCGCTGGCTAAGTGGTCCAGGCTCGCAGGGTGCAGTGTAAGGTCCTTCAGCAGGGTTTAGGGTTTAGGGTTCAGGGTTCAGGGTTCAGGGTTTAGGGTTTAGGAAGTCGGGGGATTCCGAAGTAGGGGGTGCCCGTGCCCTTCTTTTACGGGCTCCGATGACAAGGAGTCTGGTAACTTTGGGTTTTATTAAGGGCACCCCTATTTTGAGACATGCCCATTTCTTACAAGTACCATGGTACGACTTCAAGCGCGAGTCGAAGCACACTGGTCGGAAATTACAGAAATTGGCTTTAAGGTTTGTGCTTGCTCAAGGACTCAAGGCTTGGGCAGTTGTACAAACCACGGCCTGCAAAGATACATAACGCTCTAAGCCCTAATAGCCCCAAACCCTAAACCCTAAACCCTAAACCCTAAACCCACCGGGTCCTCGAGGCGCAGCTCTTCGAGGTGCCGCAAGGATGGGAAGCTGAGGCTTTTGATGCAGGCCTGGCAGGTTCACTTGCGGCTTTCATGGGTTTGGGACCTACCCCCTTGTAGGGTTCAGGGTTTAGGGTTTAGGGTTTAGGGTTTAGGGTTTAGGGTTTAGGGTTTAGGGTTTAGGGTTTAGGGTTTGGGGTCCTTAATAGGGATTATCAGATGGGGTACTAGAATCCATCTTGAGGACTGCTTCTCTGGGGAACATGGGCAGCTCTGTGCATGGCCAATAAAGCAGATCAAAGCAAGGTCAATGACGCCAGCTATAGCACATGTAGCAACAGGTATTGCTTCAGGCTCTGTTGTGAATCGTCGACCTGTAACCCCATGGGCCAGAAGCGCGCTGAACCTCACGTCCTTTGCCTGGGGATGCCTAGAAGGACTTTCATCCAGCCAGAAATGCTGCTCAACTGCCCTTTTTGCTAAACCCTAAACCCTAAACCCTGAACCCTGAACCCTAAACCCTAAATCCTGAATCCTATCCTAAACCCTAAACCCAAACTTTGTGAAACATTACCTCTGACTATAGCATGAAGTGGCCATGTTGACGAGAATATGGACATGATGTGACATGTCTGATTCTCACAACCCATCCCCCCAAAGGGAGAGAGAAGGAGAGAGAGAGAGACAACAAACAAGCTAGAGATTCTGAAACCCAAGAAGCCCCCTGAACTCCACTTAGAAAAGCACAAGTTAGATGTTCTGAGCTCCCCAATCCTGACCCCAGGAAGCCCCCTTAAGGTAATTTTAGGGCCATCTTGGGAGTGTAAACCCTAAACCCTAAACCCTAAACCCTAACCCCTAAACCCTAAACCCTAAACCCTAAAGGCTTGAACTCCACTTCGTGCGACATGGCATCCTCCACATCTGCAGCTGCCAGCTTGGCTCCGCTCAGGGTAAGCTTCGAGCATCCCTGGTCTTGGTGCTAAAGCTGCTTGGTTTAGGGTTTAGGGTTTAGGGTTTAGGGTTTAGGGTTTAGGGTTTAGGGCTTAGGGCTTAGGGCTGAAGGGCGCTGCCCTAAACTGCTGTGATCTCTCGGGTTCCTTGAGCTAGCAAATTTTTGCGGTGTGCTAGAAATCTCCCACATATGTACAAGGGTAGTCCATCGTGTTTAACGTTGTTGTACATGGCTGTTCTGGTGTCCACACATGAGTGAGAATCCAGGATAAGCCTTTGCGCAGGGGACACCTGCTCCCACAGCCAATCCCCAAGCCAGATTCCTAGGCCCCCCGAGCCTGTGAAGCAAGATGTACTAGGCTTCTTTTGAATCGTTATTTGTGGTGATTATCACGGGGGTAGTTCGGGTGGGCGGAGCATACGATACCATAGCACGCTCCGTCCTTTCAAAGTTCTACACTCCGTCCTTTCGGAGTTTCGAAGTTCTCAAGCGAAGCTACCCAGCACCCCCAGAGCCACCATTTCCATGACTTTTCCCAATGTTAAACCCTCAACCTTATAAACCCTAAACCCTATATAAACCCTTTTGCTAAACCACGCTTTCCCACCTCGAGCGCCGTCCGCAACTCCAGCTCCGTCCGGCATATGGTGCGTTCAGTCATACGTGGTAGGGTTTAGATGTTTCCCCTTATACTCACAGTCCATAATAGGGATTATTGTACTATTAAGGACTGTGAACAGCAACGTAAATTTCCACCTGCTATGGGTGGTGCTAGACGGTTAGAGCACCTACACCTATTCGAGCTGCATGCAAGACTATGTGTACAGAAAATGTTCCTGATTGGTGTGGCTTGTGTTTGCCCTGTTGATGGGGCTTTAGTCTGACTTGCGAAAAGGTAGCTTTGTTTGCTACTGTGTGGGCTGTTGTGCTTGCTTCAAGCTTCGACAATTGCGAGGGTTTTGGCTGATGGTCTTTTTATGTGTGCACTGTGCTTAAGGCTGAAGGTTGGGGGGCTTCGGTTTCAGCGCTTCAGTTTGGCTTAGAATGGCTGAGAGTTAAGAGTTGTAGGGTCCAGGTCCCTGGCTCGTGTTTGCAGCAAGACTGCGTCTGCACAGAGGGAGCCGCGCAGCCACGACATCCAAAACTGCAAAACTCGAATTGGCTCAGAGGGTTTGTGGAATTCTTGCAGTGTAGACATTAGCTTTAGCTGATCAGCAACGTGAGCATGTGGAGGGCAATGGCCAGAGTTCAGCTTGCAATGGGTTGACGAGCTCAGTGCTTGTGCGTACTATCGATCTAGCCTGGGGCTAAGCAGCCCGCGTTGCGTCACACAAGGTGCTCATACTGTCACACTATTCCAAGCTCTACTACCAAAAACCCTAAACCCTAAACCCTAAACCCTCAGAACTGGCTGACGAAGCTACGGATCCATCTTGCTGCTGGGGCCCTGTGTTTCATTCTCCTCGCGAGCACATATGAAACAATTTGAGAATCCAGCGATACGCATCTCTGCGTAATGTCCCACTACTGTACACGGTGAGGCGTCCCGTGGTAGCGGAAGGTTAACCCGAAGGCAACCCTAAACCCTAAACCCTAAACCCTAAATCAGGCCGTGCCATCTACAGCCTGAGCCAGCTATCTAAGAGTCAGATCATTCAGCGCAACATCCACCGAGTCTCACGTACTCTGGAAAGAGCTCGGAGAACACCTGTGACAACAGGAAGGTGTCTAACCCAGTCGGCATGTTTTGCTGGCCCCTAAGATAGAGTCACTTCAATCGTCATCTTAACACAGTTCTTATACAGCAGTCGGTTAGGAGAAGAGGCCCTTCAAGAAGGGTTCCTAGTTTCAGGGTATGTGGGACCTTGGTGCCCAGGCAACTGCATGAACGCAGCACCGCCTACCGACCCTAGTCGCCTTCCATTGTCTCCCATGCACAAACAGCTGCCCAGTTCCCAGCAAACACGACATAAGTACCTCAACACTCCACATCGCACGCTTCATGCCCCGTGCAGGCACCTTTCAGACCCTCACCTCGCAACCTCAAACTTCATAACCAGCCTCGAAAGACATTCCGATCAACCGGCAAAAAAAGTACGAAGCGCCTGCAAAGCGTGGGAAGGTCTGCCGATGACGACTTCAGGCTTCTCCCCGCCCTTCTCTGCATACTCCGCCTTCATGGCGTGCGGGCAAAAAAGTCTCCGCGCGTGCTACCAAGATGAAAATCTCTAGGCCCCAAGTCTAAACCCTACACCCGAACCCTAACACCCAAGCCCTAAACCGCCCTGGTCGGGCCTTCAGCTTGCCAATCTCCGGTGCCAACTTTATCAGCCTCGAGATGTGAGATCAGGAGCTACCGGATTGAGCAAAAGGCGAGAAGCACGACTCTTGGTACGTGATGGTGTTCTTATGGTACCGATGTACTATTGCAATATGGCATTCGGCATATTCTATATCTATATATTAATATCTATGTATATATATATACGTAGATATCTCTCTCTATCTATATCTATATCTATAAATTAATCAATATATATATATATATGTATTATACCAACATACCATTACGGGTCACGCATAAGGTTCAGAGGTCTCATGGAAAGAACTGGCCGCCCAGCCGCTCATCCAAGCGCTCACGAGCAGCGAGCTCAATGGCCTCGCTTGGCTTCGGGGTACCATAAACCCTATCTTAGTAGTCCAGTAACCATATTATGATAAGGGCACCCTTTTTTGGTTGGCTACTTTATAAGGGAACCAGAACCAAAAAAAGGAAAAGGGTACCACTGGGCTGAACGCTGAACCTGGGATGTTCCTTCTACTAACAGTCCTTAATATACGGATTTTAGTACCCCGTTGTATAATCCATATTAAGGAGCTGTGAGTCTAAGGGGGGAACATCCCAACGATAAACCCTAAACCCTAAACCCTGCTCGGGTTTGATCTGAGTTCGGACACGTGGAAAAAGCATGCCAAGAACACGCGGACTCGAAGAACCTGCCAAGACCACTGGAAGAGAACTCTGCGGGCCGAAATGGTGCAAAAACTCCCTTAGAATGGACGAAGACAACCCATCTGAGCCCAATGGGGTTTGGGTTTAGGGTTTAGGGTTTAGGGTTTAGGGTTTAGGGTTTAGGGTTTAGGGTTTAGGGTTTAGGGTTTAGGGTTTAGGGTTTAGGGTTTAGGGTTTAGGGTTTAGTTTAGGGTTCAGGGCTTAGGGTTTAGGGTTTGCTGTGTAATGGCGCAGAAGCTGTGAAGGTTGGGATGAAGACTCGCTTCGACAGCTTCGTGATATCCGAGGAGCAGCCATGGCCCGATAGTGGAGGGCCATCTAACACTTTTGTCCCACCCGACGCCGTCTCAGGTGACAAACCCACCCGAACCTATTCCTTTTCCTTTTAGGGTTTAGGCCTAGAGGGGTTTCAGGGGTCTCAGGGGGTCCCCCCTCGCAAGCGTCAGAAAATGCGGTTTTGGGGGGAAGTTCCCTGTTCTGGGTTTAGGGTTTCCATTTTTTGGACACGGCACGGTGCAAAAAATTGCACGGGGACCGAGATGGGAGCGGAAGGTGTACGGGACCCAGGTGAGAGCGATCTGTGTTCGGGCCCAGGCACGTGCACAGGGCCGTCGTCGCTCCCGCACGGCGCTTAAGCAAAAGACACCCCTGTTAGTATTCCACATCTGGTTTGATGTCAATGTTGGACACGCTTTAGTATCCAGGCCCCGCCCCCCCCCCCCCCCCCCCCAAAAAAAAAAAAAAAAATTGGGGTTTTCGGGGATCCTCTATTGGCTAGGACGGGGGGGGCTGGGGGTACAGTAGGGCGGGGGTTGAGGGGAAGCCTTGAAGCTTGATGGTCTAAGCTTTCCAGGCCTTGTAGCTCCCTGGCCAGGGGGGCTGCGGATTAATGCGGGTAACCAAAACAATTTACTAAAAGCGAATCAGGGCAGCTCGTGGGCTACTCCCTTGGAAAATTGTTTGGGGGCCTGTTTCGTAATGAAATTTTAAAAGGAAATTAAACAAAGCCGGACACCAGAAACTTCCGGAGTTTCTTATATTCAATCTAATTTTTAGTTTTTGGCTGCCCGGCGCCCCGCCCTTCATCCCCGGCCCGGCAACATCGCATAATTGAGGACCACCCTCATCAAAGGGGGGGTTTTCTATAAGATTTGCGGAAAAATGCGTAATAGTGTCCCTTTTCACAAAAACGGGTCCAACATTAGGGTTTATGGCTTAGAGCTCCGAGATTGTTCACACACACGCACAGACGTAAATCGCCACAACTCGAGAAGGCCCATAACCCAGACCCCTTGCAGGATCCAAAAAACAGAATCCCTAAATAGTACGCTATACTGCTATTGGGCGATTCTTCGGAACCCAACTTAAAGGCATCTACCTTTATGGATCCTCCCAGGGGTCTGGGAAGGGTTCGTGATGCAGGCTTCTTGTTCGAAAATGACCCAAGTTCAAAATCCTGAACCAAGTACGTAAACCCTAAAACTTAGCCTTAGAGTAAGCCCACACTCTCACACAAGTTACGCTACAAATTCCCGAGGTGGGAGGCCAGAGCAAAAACAGCATGATACGAGAGCTTTGGCAGCACGGTGATCTGGGAACGCTTCGACCCACTTTGCCACAAGTCCCTTCTCCGAACAGGACTGAAGCTGGCGCAATCTCCAATGGAACACTCCAGGCACAAGTCCCTAAACCCTAAACCCCAAACCTGAACCCGAAAACGCTTAGCCGCCTTGATCTCATCAGCCTCGCTGACCGTGACCTTCACGGGCTCCCGGGTAGCATCCTCGGTTGGCAATCCCAGCTGCTTAGGGCTTAGGGCTTAGGGCTTTGGGCTTAAGGCTTTGGGCTTGGGGCTTAGGGTTTAGGGCTAAGGGCTTGGGGTTTAGGGTTTGGGTTTAGGGTTTAGGGTTTAGGGTTTAGGGTTTAGGGTTTAGGGTTTAGGGTTTAGGGTTTAGGGTTTAGGGTTTAGGGTTTATGGTTAGGGTTTAGGGTTTAGGGTTTAGGGTTTAGGGTTTAGGGTTTAGGGTTTAGGGTTTAGGGTTTAGGGTTTAGGGTTTAGGGTGGGTTTAGGGTTTAGGGCTATCAGTGCAGTACAGTATGGCGTCTAGGTTGCCTTTTTCCAGGGTAGGATATGGCTGAAGGTTCGGAAGCCAATGTTCTCAGTTCTCTCGCCAGCGATCCCCGAAGCCAAAAGCCTTCGCAACCTACAAGCCCTAAGCCGCAAGCGTCTAGGTTTTCGCGGGCTTCTGGTCGGAAATCGCAACAAGGGTAAACGTAGTACACCGGGGGGGGGGGGGGGGGGGGGAGGGGCGCATCGTTTCAGCTGTTGGAGGGTTTCCATACTTCCCGTAGAACCATGCGTTTCTGTGTGGCACACAAATGGAGAAAAACGTAGTTCCAAAGGGAATAGGTTAGGCTGTTGGTTTTTTCATTGAGGTTGTGCTTCGAGAAGCCTAGCTCCGTAAGCAGATAACTGTCAATCCGAATCGTGCCCGCAGGAGTGTTGTTCACCTTGCGATGCCGGATGCCTGGGATTATACACTATAGGTGTCGACTTCAAAGTCCCCAAAAAATATTCTAACTAGGGCTCCAGCTTGGACAACAAGTTATAAGATAAATTTAGAAATAATTATCCCAAATCGATGCCTAGTAGAGTGTTCAGGGTTTCGGACGCGGATCGTTCATTGTATATAGCCCTCTCGCTGCAGTAAGAAGCAAGCCGGGAGCGGTAGCAGAAGCGAGAGAGGAAGGCGGAGCGCGACGACCACAAAAGTCTTCCACCTAATTATATAGGGTCCTTCATTATTAGATGGTTTTGGGGGGTTATTATAATATTTGTAAAGGGGCCATAAGGGGATAATATCGTAATTGTTCCGACCCCTATATCATTCACAACCGATTTTGCTGCCGAATGGCCTGAAGGAACTCCACAAAATCCTCCTGCATTGTTGGCACGGATTTGTCGGAGTTATCGAAGCTAGAAAATGGATCTAGCTTTGTTGGGACTGAGGGATCCTGTGCGTCCATGATGAAATCTGGGGGGGAGGGGGGCATGGCATTTTGCCGCAATGGCTCTCATCGAGACAGATTGCTTGGTTTAGGGTTCCGGCGCTGTGTGCCTCACACCCTAAACCGTGCCTTGACCATGACCTCAAGTCAAAAAACTGTCCTTGCCCATTTCGGGTGCGGGCTGTCGGCTGGGATGCAAGAGTGGCAGGAGGCCGGGGGGTAAAAACACCTGCATTTTCCACGAGACGCGGTGGCATCATGGTTTAAGGCTTAAGGTGTAGTTTTTGGACCAAGGCAGTTTCTGCGTTACTCAAGGTTTAGGGTGAGATACTGCGGGCGTTCCAGGTTGCCAGGGGAGTCTCGACAGCATGTGTTGTTGAAGGCTTGCGGAGACCGGAACCCGGTCCTTTTGCATGTACTTGAGTGTGAGCTTCTCTGCCACCACTTTGCCGCTCTGCAAGATCAAGCCTCCGCCCTGCAGGGTGAGTCTGGAGTCCATCCCCAAGAGAAGCAGGGACCCTCAGTGCGAAACGAACTAACTTGACCCGATAGACCGCCCAGAAACCACACAGAGTTCAAGAAGGGGCACGAGGTCTGTATCTTGCATAGCAAAGGGCTCAATTCATTATTCTGGCCTCCCCCCGCCCCCTTCTCACAGTAGAACAGGCGAGCATCTGTACTTCTTTTGAGTAGCTACCCTCCCTCCCCTCCGCACGCTACCTTCTTACTCGCCCCCCCGCCCCCGCCCCAGTTCAAGCTTTCATGAGCTCGGAATCTCAGCCTTTGAAGTTCAATGTTGCCTAAACCTGAAAGCTTAAACGCGCGAGATTCAGGTCCTCGCCCGTCTCCGTCACCTTGAGCGCAGCAAGCGCCGCCTGCGCGTCCTGCCAATGCTTCCCATCCAGGGACTACAGTTCGGCAACCGGGCTTGTGAGTTGGTTTGTTCAGGATACTCTTCTTCCTAAACCCTAAAACCCTAAACCCTAAACCCTAAACGCATGCTGCAGGTGCTTCTGGAACTTAGAAAAACTGCATTTTCAGGCATCTGGGGACCGACACCCCTCACGGCTATGCCCAAGATCGGCCCCAGACTCACCTCCTAAACCCTAAACCTAAACCCTTGTACAGCAGGCCTCGGAACCCTAAACCCTAAACCCTAAACCGCAGGTGCTTCTGGAACTTAGAAAAACGGCCTTAAAGACCTCCTGCCTCTCAGACTCAAAGCCTCCCCGAAAACTCGCAGAGCTCCCCTACTTGGAGGTTCATGGGTACTTCTTATAAGTAGGTTATAAGTTAGGCTTTAGGGTTTAGGGTTTAGGGTTGAGGATGTAGGGTTTAGGGTTTAGGGTTTAGGGTTCAGGGTACCTATAGCCGTACGTCGAAGTACCCGTGAACCTTGAAGTAGGACTAAGATCTTATGGCCTCCAGCTTCTCGAAGCTTTCGATCTCCAGGCCACCCTCACCCATGAGGACCTGGGGGCAGGAACCCTTTTGCAGCGAGCCTCGTGCGCCAGCAGTGGGGCAGGAACCCTAAACCCGAAACCCTAACCCTGAACCCTGAACCCTGAACCCTGAACCCTGAACCCTAAACCCTAAACCCTAAACCCTCGTCCGGGCTTCGGTACGGATTTTAGGTGTAGGGTTGAATCACTCTCGGACAAGGGTTTCGACTCCTTGGTACACTTCTCAATTTGTGTGTGTGTGTGTCATCCTTGCGCAGGGGACAGGCGTTTCGGGTTTAGGGCTTTGGGATGTTTAGGGTCCTCTAGAGCCTCCCTGCCAGGCAATTATAGCTGCACTCGATGAGCACCCCCTGGGCACCCCCACAAGCTGCCAAAGCGATGTGTCGGCGGCCCTCAAGCGCTGGGCCTCCTCGCAGCACCCAGGGCGCTTGCATGGGTTTAAGTTTAGGGTTTAGGGTATATTTTTTGCCACCCGCCTAGGGTATATTAGGGTTTAGGGTTACATGGTGCTGTAAATATGGGCCCTTAATTGGGGACCTGTTATATACCCCTAATACCCAATCGCACGGGCCCATACTTGAGAACGCTTTAGAGAAGGTAAGGGACCATAGTGAGGGACCATGTAACTTAGGCTTTGGAGGTTCTTCGGGCTCAGGGTTTTAGGGTGTAGGGTAGGCGGCATAAGCTCGGGTCTAGGGCAATTTACAGCTCTTAGGGGGCTTCAAGGGGTGGCATGCGCTGAGCTTAGCTGCTTGTACTTCTCGTCTCGATGTGGGTACACTGGCTTCGGCTGGCGAAGTGCCTCCTCAAGATTCATGAACTCTGATACCGCGTCTGGCCTCGTTTGGGCCTATGTTCACACGAAGGACCCCCTGCCGAAGCTGGAGGTGGGGAACTCTCGTTCGACCCGGCAGCCGCCCACCTTCACCCCAAAACTAGGGAACCAACCCGGATCTGAATCCACGATGGCCGGCGGCAGCATCTTCACCACCAATCACCACACGAACCCGAGACCATTTGGTTGAGGGCTTGGCATACACATGAATTCGACTTCACATTCGGCGAAGGCGCTGAGAGGATGGGATCTGGAGGTCCGTCCATGAAGACCTTAAAGGGAACTGGTTTTGATGGATGAAGTTCAGTGGCGGTTCCTCCTTCTCACCCGCCACAGGCTTCGGGGCTTCGCTGGTTGTGGCTCATTGTCTTCTGCAAGAGTTCGTGCGTTGCCCTAAAACATCCTGAACCCGGGCGGACAGTTCTCCCCCCCTTGCAGCCGACATTCAAAATTGAAGTCCCAAGCCAACTTAGGGGATTTCCAAAATGGGGGGGTACCTTATTGGGGTCCACTATCATGAGGGGAGCCTACAATTTGGGTCTATTATTGGGTTCCCCCCCATTTTCGTAAACCCCCTCTTCTCTTCGATGCAGTTCGAAGCCGGGGCGCAGCTCCAACCAACTCTGTCGTGAGCTCCTTCTCGGGCAAGCCGCACGCTGCCCAGATCTTGGCGAAGGCCTAGACGCTCAGGCTTCGGCGTCTGATCCTAAAGAACCTGACCCAACCCTGAAAGATAGAGCCCGAACCAGTAAGTGCGGGGTTGGGGGGTCGGTTCACTTGTGCCAACATGAGGGAGCAGGGAGGTTTCTGGCCGAGAGAACTGCGAGGAAGACGTCGCGAAAAGGCATTCGTGCAGCATATCATGGGACAAGCCGGCAAAACATGGGAAGATCCTTCTCCATACATTACTTCCGCATTTCGGAGAAAATCCGCGGCTTCGTCAGCCTCCTTCCTGAAGACCCCTGAAGCCCTCACAGAAAGCAGCCCTGGCAGTCCTCGTAGGCTGCAGCTACCTGGCGCTGTTTCAGGGTTTTGCGTGTTCCCCCGCTTTCTGGCTGAGGCTTCTAGACCTGCTCGGGTGATGAACAAGCTTGGCCTCTGGAATCTGCGCCACGGCCGGCAGCAAAGCCGCGATTTTCTCATCGCTGAGGTACATGCTTGAGGGTATCAAGCACAAGACCGCTTTAGACGGGATTGCACAACATGGGCCGACTTAGGGATGTCTGCCATGAGCTGGGTACTTGTAACCGTCAGACCTAGAGGACTCCTTGCTTCGGCTGTGGGCCAATCTCAGCTGCACAGGAACCCAAAAGCGACCATACGGAGAACTCGCCATCTAGCGATGCGTAGAGGCATCATCCTGGCCCAGGCTTGCGGGTCCCATGCCATCATACGGATCTTTGCGTTCAAGTAAATCACATGAAAGGCACAGAGCAGCCCCTACAGTACATTCCCCGAACCGAACAGCGCTCCAGGAGTTTAGACGGCTGCAATTTGCATTTAGGCCCGAAGTCGTGGGGGAGATAGCTGTTGTCTTGCTCAGGAATTTTGGGCCTTGGGCACTTCCTTTTCTTGCAGCGGCCACTGCAGAGTGTGACACTTTCTTCAAGGCCTCGTGTTCTTCCGGGTGTTGTTCTCAATCGGCCCTCTGCGTGCTCGCTGCCCCAAGGCCATGAACTCATACTCCTGACCCTGGTGATGAACCGGCCACCGACAAATCACCGGCAGAGTCACCATGGTTCTCGGAAGTCTTCGGCATCATGCTTGCTTGTCACGAGATTGGGAGACATAGGACAACCGGATGACAGGTTGCACCAATGGACTCGGTGTCAAACACTTTCGGTTTAAGAGCCGTCCTTGCCGTCACGTGGTGCTTCGCCTGAATCTTGTTACCCGGCATCATGAAAGGAATCCAGAGCAACTGGCAAAAGCGGTAAGCTGGTCCGGCGCAGTTGCTCTTGCACAGTGCTACTGTCGCCTCCCATGGTCGCATGGCCCCATGTCACCACATTCCCATCTGCAAGAACAGCTGCAAAGGCACCAGCTGATGCTTGGATCTGCTGCACGTCTTCCAGGCGCTCCTGGACGGAGCTGCTGTCTCCGCCAAGACTTGCCTCTGTTCAGTTGTTCGATTGTTCCGGAGACAATAGCGCTGCAAAAACAAACGAGCTATCTGGGGGCAGATGGGGCAGGGTACCATTTGGGGGGGTCTAATACGAGGTTTATGCTTGTCGTCGAGGTATATGAGGAGGACCCCCTTTTGGGAAAATGCCCATCTCAGACACCAAGTCACATAGCCCCAGGTAACAACGCCGCCGTTGTCCAGGACAGCCGCAAAAGCGCCGGAAGTCGCTGCAATCTGCTGCACGTCCCGCAGCTGCTCCCGCACCATGCTGCTATCTCCGCCGCGATTCGCCTTTGGGTTTTTTAGGGCTTTTTGGGGTTTAGGGTTTAGGGTCTAGAGTTTTGCAACTCTACCAAGTTATACCCGAACCCGTGGCCACGCTATATGCGAACATCTCAAGGCCAAGGGCAGCCCAGGAGCGTCGCCCCAGGTCACCACGCTGCCGTCAGAGCAGATGGCGGCAAAGGCTCCCTTTGACGAGGCGATCTGCTGCACATCTTGGAGTTGACTTTGCACCTCCGAGCTGTCACCTTACGGTTACTAGGGACTGAGGGAATGAGGTACCCTATATCCCCCTATATATATGTATGCCCTTTAAGGGATTATGTAGGGTACCTCATTCCCTCAAGTCACCACCATAGGCAGCATCACCCCATGTCACCACCTCGCCACTGGTCAGAAGGGCTGCGAAGGCGGTCTCGGATGCACAGACTTGAAGGACACCTCGAAGCCGGTTCTGGACAAGGCTGCTGTCACCGCCAACCTGAACAGTAGCAATGCCACATGATTCTTCATAGTCACTAACAATCATCATACTATTCATAATGGTATCGTTGTTGTTCTGGCTCTTTTTTCTGGCCGTTATGCGCTTCACCATTGAAGCTTTCTTCCTGTGAAGACTGGAAGAGAAAGACAAAGCCCCCTAAACCCTGAACCCTGAACCCTAAACCCTAAACCCTAAACCGAAGCCTTGGCGTAGCCCCAGGTTATCACGGTGCCATCGCCGCAAACGGCGGCAAAGGCACCTTTAGAGCCAGCGACGGAACGCACATTCCTGGGTTGCCCTTTAAACACCCTGAAAAATATCTATGTATTTAGGGTTTAGCGTTTAGGGTTAATCCCTTATAAACCCATATAAGGAGAATAAAAAAACTCCCAAAATCCAACCTAGATTCTGCAAAGATGCTTGGACCATGCTGCTGTCGCCACCGCGTTTGGCATCACCCCATGTGACGACAGTGCCGTCTGCGCGAATGGCTGCAAAAGCTCCCTTAGTGGATTGCACCTGCTGCACATCAACCAGTGAATCTTGGATGGTGCTGCTGTCCCCTCCCAGGTGTGCATCACCCCAGGTCGCCACACCACCGTCTGTGCGGACAGCTGCAAAAGCACCGTCAGAGGCTTGGACGTGCTGCACACTCGTCAGCCGCTCTTGGACAGCTGTACCTCAGCGTTGTCATTTCGCCACGAAATCACCTGTTTGTTCGCTACATTTCTGCAGCGCAGGAAGCCATGAGAGCCTCGTCTATGACACTCACGAGACATACCCCTGCCAGCCTATGAAATTCGGGCCTGTGGATCGCGAATGGTTATTGGGGCTCTCCGTGTTCCTACCCCGGGCCAAGCTATAGCCACATCAGCAAAGTCGCTGTTTCCACCCCAGGCCTTGTCTCCCCAGGTGACGACACTGCCATCGCCTCGAACAGCTGCAAACGCCTCGACAGCAACCATGACAAACCTATTATCTACTATTTGCTTAAGAACCACCCTCCCCCCAAAAAAACCAAAAACACTTCTTCCTGATAAGGGAAATAGAGGGATTATTGTCTTTTCTTTCTAGGGGTTCTAAAGTTCTAAACAACGAGCAGGTGACTCAAAGCCCCATAAACAAGCCATCTCTGTGCGGACCGCAAGGGCAGGGGCATTGCCGAAGATTCCCACATATTCCCACCCTCACTTGCGAATCCCGACGTGCGCCAAAACAAGCTTGGAAACCCTCGAAGGCACCTTGACGGTAGCCTGGATAAACTGCACGTCGCGCAGCTCACTCTGCACCGCACTACTGTCGCCACCCCAATTCGGAAGGCCCCAGCTCCTTGAGGTTTCCGGTGTTGCTTTGTATATTGTGGCCTTGGGATATTTTAATGGGGGTACTAGAATCCCTATTAAGGACTGCTAGTAAAAGGGGGGAACATCCCAAATTATGGCCTTGGGATTCTCTAGGGTCTTGGACATCTCTGAGTGCATCATGGCAGCTCGACACTATCCAGCTGCAGGGCCCGAAGACCACCAACAAAAACGCCCTACAAACACCCTGAACCACAGGTTTTCTGCCACTCGCCTAGCCAAACCTCTCGGGCTACTCCGCAGGGACTATTCGAGGTAACCGTGTTTTTGGAGGTAACACAGGTTTAGGGTCTACACGGTTTAGGGTTTAGGGTTTGAAATCCTAGATCTTGTGCCAACTGGGCCCAGGGTCACCACTGAACCATCACGCCGGATCAACGCGAAGGCCGACGAGCGCTGGCTAGGTGCCAAAACCTCAGGTTTAGGGTTTAGGGCTTAGGGTTTAGAGTTTAGGGTTAGACGAGCTGGGAGCTTTTTGGGCCCGATTCAATCAGGGTTTCTGCAAGCACTCTGAGCAGCAGCAGGCTTCACGCGAGCAATCAGGGTTTAGGGTTTCGGTGTTAGGGTTTAGTGTAGACCTGTTTCAAAAGCAGTGGAAGGGCTTAAGGAACAACTTCAAGAAACTACAGGTGCCAAGCTGCAACACACAAAGATTAGGGTTCAGGGTTTAGGGTTTAGGGTTTAGGGTTTAGGGTTTAGGGTTTAGGGTTTAGGGTTTAGGGTTTAGGGGCCCCAGTCTCTCCCCAAGTTCGAGCAGGCTTGCCCAGAATTGGTAAAGCACATTTAAAACCCGGATCACCAAATCCCGCACCAGCCCCCTGCATGCGTGTACACGCGCGCTCGCGCGCCCAGAATTTGTGCAAATTCCATCTTGCCATTTTTGCATCCGGGCTAAGATGTCCAGGCCGGAACGACTCAGCAAAACTCTCAGACCCTAGCACTTGTGTCTGCGACAGAAAGCCTTGCGAATCAATGATTCAGGAACTTTCGCTGTACAGAAGGAGAACAGAGCGCGCCTGCATGCAAGCATTGTGCATATCGATCAGCTGCGGACGCTTGCAGAATTCCAAGTTGCCAAAACCCTAAAGACACTAAACCCTAAACCCTAAACTTCCTAAAACCTCAACCCTAAACTTCCCAAACCCTCAACCCCAACCCCCAAAGCCTAAACTAAGAGGCCAAGGCGCCGCTTTGCGCACGGTGGCCTTACTAAGTCTCTGGGCTTTCCATTTGGAGGCTTCTGAATATTTCGGGTTTAAGGGCTTGTAAGGCTGTACCCTTTTTTGGAATTCCTTTCATACGGAGTAAAGAATACACGCCGGTTTTGGGAAAATTGCTATTTCTTCTGGGAGATTGAGTTGAGGCTCAGGGTTATGTATCGAATCTGGTTTAAACGCCTTCTTGGTCCATGAGGTTCTATGGGAGCACCGCCCCCTGCCGCGACGTCTGAGCCCCCCAATCTAGACCCTTTCATCCTCACGGGGTGGTTTAGGTTGAGAAGGAACTGTGAGGTTTGCGTTCTCCAAGCAGCCAAAAAAAAAGAGAGAACGGCCCCGAAATCCGAAGTCTCTAAACCCCAAACCCGCAAAAACAAAGACAAAACAAAGCCCTAAACGACCCAAGCGGTCCGAAGGGCGCCAATCGTGGCATTCTCTTTGAGCCCTGCCGCCCTGAGTGTGCTGGTGCCCTGTAGCAACTCGCCGCCTGCCCATATGAAGGCTTAGGGCTTCAGAGCTTTGAGTTTGGGGTTTTGGGTTTCGGGTTTAGGGTTTGGGGTGGGCTTGTTTCCGAAACGGAATCCAAAGAGGACACCTGGCGGGGGCTGGAGCATTGGACACAGCAGCTGCGGCCCCCCCGCGGGTTTGGATCGGTTCGGGGGGTTTAAGGGCTCGGGGATTACAGTTTCAGTGGGACAGGCTGTGGGTTTCGTGCTGGTTTCTCGCGAACGATTTGAGACCCCGGGTTTGGGCTTGGCTGGGAGGATGTAAGCCCCTGGAACTAAACCCTGTCCATGCTCTGTAGGATTCTCATTTGGTGCTTCGCTGCTTGCCTCTCCCACAACCATAAAAGAACTGTGCTAATCTTGGCTATTCCCACAAAACCAGGAAGCCTAACAAGCCTAAAACTCCTAATACTCAACGTTGGGCCACGTAATATTGGGGCTGAAATAGTTAGAACAGGGTTTTGGGGTCCTATTAGTAATTATTCCGACCCCTATATCAATTTGGTCTGTCAACTGTCAACCCTGCAGCCTAGGAACCCTCTTCCCATTCAGCCTCCTGGCCTGCGGCGACCAAGCCTCCCAGGCGCACACCCAGCGCTCTTTGCCCAAGCAGCCGCAGCCTCAAATCTCGTGCGGATCGAGGATAAAGGGACAGGGTGCGAAGATTGAGATGACTGGAGAGTCGGTGTCGGAGGTTTCGATGGGGTGAGGCTCCGAAGCTTTGCGATGCTTGGGTTTGGGAGTCTTTGTGTTGTAATGTGATGTTGCGTCCAGCAACATCATGGTCCTGGTCCTGCAGTTTGGGTTGGGCTTCACGGTCCCAGGAGCTCATTCACCGTCATGTCTGGCTGCACCTCCACAGTGGTCGATTGGCCGCTCAGCAGGGTGACGCAAATGGAGAAGCAGGGCCTTCCGGAGATCATGCAAATTTCCACTGGGTTTAGGGTTTAGGGTTTAGGGTTTAGGGGCATGGACGGCACATGGTGGGTAGGTTGCTTTTTTTTCCCCACGTTCCGGTCTGACACACGGTGTCCCTGGGTGCCCAAGGCACGACACAATGGGAGCCCGGCCTCTCCATCAGTGGCGCAGGCTGGCGCGTTGTGACCGTCGGCGTGCCATGGCGAGGGGACTGCAAAGCCCAAACCCCCTTAAAAACGTATGCTACCACAGTGGCTTGTGGCTTTGCATTTTTGGGTCTGAGCGCACATTGTGGTGTAGTCGCAAGCAGCAGAACGAAATCTCTACTTCCCACCCCCCAAAGCCTAAATGCCTAAATCTGAAGTGTCATAAGATGTCGGGGTCTAGAATGTCCCTAAACCCTCGGAAATATGCTCCTAAATATCCTCCTCTTAAACCCAATAAGGGAAAATAAATGGGAACATATAAAATACCAAGGGCCTACCTAGAGTCATGGGGGATCCTTCGAGCCCCTGGAGTGCTTGTGAAAGCCAGGCCGGGGGTTTTAGGGTTTGGGGTTGCTCCTAAGCCCATTCCCTGTTCAAAATAAAGTACTTCGAACATCCCCCACCCTGCAGGCAAGGAACCTGCGAGTTCACTCTGGGGTTGGGCGCTCCAGGATTTTGGGGGATACTCTGGGGTTGAGCACTCCAAGATTTTCGGAGATACTCTGGGGTTAGGCACTCCAGAGCACTCCAGAGATTCTGGAAAGCTCTGGAATTAATGGGGCACTCCAGGAGATTCTCTGGCCTGGGGTTGGGCACTCCAGAAATTTGCCGGTGATACTCTGGGGTTGGGCACTCCTGGGACTCTCTGAAATACTTGGGGCTGGGACTAATTAGGGGCTGGGCACTCCCAGGAACTTTCTGGAAATAGTCTGGGGTGGGATATGGATGGGCAAGGAGTAGACCGGGCGAGGAGAAGAGTTAGGTTAATTATTGGGCAACCCCGCGCCCTCTCTACATTCGAGTCTTTGTTTTGTCGGGCCCTGTCTGTTGTCGATAGGTCTACTTGTCGTACCTATCTAGATGATTGGGGAGACAGTCAAAAGGGCATCATTTAGGGAACTGCTTAGAATCCGTGAACCACACAACCCGAGATAAGCCCAGAAAATCATGTGAATACACGACAAAATGAGCCGACAATGGAGAGAGAGTGCAAGAGCAAGAGAGAGAGAGAGAGGGAGAGAGAAAAAAATAGATAGAAAAAGAGAGACAAAAGAAAGAGTGAAAGAGAGAGAGGGAGGGAGGGAGAGCGCGCGAGAGAGAGAGAGAGACACACACACACACACACACACACACACGGACGGTCACGCTGCAGGCGAATGCAGGTATTTTGAGTCGGACGGGCGCAGCATGGTGTCTGCAGCCAGGTGTTCGCGGGCTTGCTGTGGTCTAGCATTCAAGCCTTGAGGGTTTCAAGACAGTCTGACTTCAGGGGTCCTTGCTCTGGGACTGCTACGGGCTAGGGCTTTTTCAATTCTTTCAAGGATTTAAAGGGTTAAGGGGAAGGATTTTCAAGGGTTAATAAGGTTCTTGAACCTTGATTCACCCAAGGGCGAGGTCCTTGAGCATGGTTCCCGGCGATCCCCTGCCGCTGCGGGCTCACTTTCCGATGGCTGACCTGGCTGGTGTTGATGCTGGTGGGTTTAGGGTTTAGGGTGATAAGAAACAAGTCCTGTTTTGTCGTTCCACCTTTGGCAACTGAAACCCTTGGGTTGTGGAGGCTTGCTTGCTGCAGACCAAGCAGGTCACAACGCCCGGGCCCCAAACCCTGGGCCCTTATTCTCACACCCAAACCCTAAACCCTAAACCCTAAACCCTAAACGTCAAAGATGATGGATGCTTCGGAGGCCAAAGGCCTGCAATCTACGGTGGCCGAAAACCGATATTTTTTCTCAAGCGATGGCCAGAAAACCTCCCTAAACCCTAAACCCTAAACCCTAAACCCTAAACCCTAAAACCCTAAACCCTAAACCCTAACCTCTCATCTGCCGGGGTGCTGCCATTTTGGCATAGTTAGAGGTCCTCGATCCTTGGTAGCACAGTAACCATATTCTCATAAGGGTACAATAGGGTACCCTTTTTGTGGTTGGCTACTTCATAAGGGAACCCAGAACCAAAAAAGGTTACTTGGAGGTTCATGATACTTATTCACCAATTATAGCCGTACTTATACCTGTACTTATCGCCATATTAGGGCGCTCAAGGGGCTTATCAGCGGGTTATTTTACGTACAGTTATAATTGGTTAATAAACCCTAAACCCTAAACCGAACCCTAAACCCTAAACCCTAAACCCCAAAAAAAGGGTACCACTGGGCTACTCCAGGTAGCTGGTTCGTTGGGTCCCACTTGTAGGAGAGGAAGAGAAAGAACGCCTGGGAGTGGTTTAGGGTTTAGAATTAGGACACCTGAGCCGATGGGCTCAGCTTGGCCTGCGGGGTCAATTTGGATGGGTTTTGATGCAAGTGCCCACAGGTTTTGCACAAGATCCAGAACTCGTAAACCCTAAACCAGAATGCTCCATCCTAAAGAACCGCTCAAACCCCCTACAGAAAAAAGGTCAATGCCCAGTGGACTGCCAGGCAAGCCACTGGCCCGAGCCACAAAGCCGCAGCGGCCACGTAGACATAGTTGTACCACTCGAACTTCACTCGCCTCCCCCCCAACACCCTATAAGCCCTATAAACCCTAAACCCCACTCCCTCTGACCACCCTTGCAATACAGCCGAATTGAATACCAATGAAACCCAGAACGCCCATTCGAATTTCAAGTAGGCCCTGCACTTGTGGGTTCAGGGAGGAGCCTCGTGGTTTACACAAGTTTCTGTCTTGGTGAGACGGCCCGTGGGATCTTGCTTCCTGCTGTACTCCGCATGCTCAGGCACAACAGCACAGTTCACACCTCAAGCTCACACATGCCTTTTCCTTTCCGCCCTGCTTCATTACAGTTTTTCAGGGATCCTGGCTTTTAACTGCTCAGTTGGGTCTCGCTTTCGGAGCTGAGTTGAGCCGCGTGTCTGAACAACAAGGGTCAGCACGTAGAGCGCGCCACCATACCACGGAGCAACGTTCGTCCTCGGGACTGCGAAAGCTGACGCCGAGGCGGTAGCGGTAGGTGGCGGGGAAACCGAACAATCCAAGGTCTCCCCGAATAACTCGGCCCTAACAAGTGCAGACTTCCAATAATTAGGCCTCTTGCACATCAGGTTGGGCATGCCTACTGACACGATAACCAAGAGATTTCCGAATGGCTTGGCAGCTAAGGGCGAACTGGAACAAGTAGGGTTGTAAGTACCCTAATTAAGGAAAGAACAAATTGCAAGTACCCTAAGTAAGGCTAGACGAGAAGTTAGCATGCTCATTGCTTATGAATACCCATGTACCTCCAAGAAGGACCAGGGAGCCGTCTCTGAAACAACCTTCACCTTGAAACCCCGCAGCCCGAAAGCCCAGGACAACACCCACAATCCATGCGCAACTCGTGAGGTGGGTATGTCCCAAATTAGGGGTGCGCCTTTTATACCCCAAATAGAACAGAATCCCCTGAAAGGGACCCCCCCCAAAAAAGGGTACCCCTATTCTCGGAAACCCCCGGGTGGACTGGCGAAAGAGCAGTCTTGGCCAGTCTTTCCCATCTGTCGACTCAAGACAGCCCACTCCGTTTCATGTAGGGTTTAGGGCTTATAGGGCCTAGGGTTGAGTTGGACATGTTAAGAGAACAAGGTCACTACTGTAGATGCTCAGAAGCCCGCCTTAAGCCCTAAACCCTGAACCAAAAATCCCAAATCCTGTGCTGCTGGGGTGCCAGGGCCTCAGTGCCTCATCAGCGGTGTAGTAGGCCATGACAGATGTGGGAGTAAAAGCGGAAGCGAAAGCCATCAGGGCCTTAATCAGGGCTCAGCATGGCAATGAAGCTTCAAAAGTATCACAAAGAAGTGGTGACGACTGAAACTATGTCGGTGTAGACCAGGTATGAACAGTCCTCATGAAGCTGGCTCGCCTTCGGCGCATCCTCTCTGACCTTGGCCGTGGCCTGGTCAAGTCCCCTCTAAAAGGCTCTCAAACTTTTGGCCAAGGATGGGGTCGCGGGGATAAGAAAAAACCCCAACGACCACGAAAGAAAGCCTTTCGGGCTCATGCACTGAGAAGGTCACCCCCAAGCTGTAGCTTAAGCAACTTACTTCCCCCCGCCCCTACCCTCCAACCCTACCCCCTCCCAGCGTCTCGACTGCTGGCCTCCTGATGTGCTACAGGTGCTGGTCTGGAAGTGAGTACCTTGCTTTCATGCTTGAGGGTGCGCGCAAGCTGGGAATGTTACAATCACGACACACATGAGGAGCAACATATCTCAATCTCGTCATAACTAGTGACACTCGCTCCTATAACCAGACCCCCCTTGAAGGGATCTACTGTTGGAGATCCTCATGAGGAACACGTACATGTCCCCACCCTGCTCCCATCTCCCAGGAGCCTCGGCTCCGCGAGGTTTCGGGCTGTCGGCTGGCGCCACGAAGGCCAGGTCCTTCAAGGCCAGCAGCGCGCACGCAAGCACGGCCGCCCTGAGCAATGCAGCGGGGCGCGCCATGGCCACTCCTGGGAGCGGGCCCTCCTGAGCCGAAAAAAAGTGCGCTGCGCCGGGAGAAGTTCGGAGCCTTCTTTAAGGCAAGACTGGCAAGGGCCCTCCCGAGCTGGGCATCGGAGTAAGACGGCTTATGGGATGCGGAGCAATCTCGTTCGTACACTGATCCAATACACTGGACAGGGATGCGCAAGATATGTATGCAGACTTGGTTTCAGCTAGGTTTAAGGCGAGGCTCGTTTGAAGGTCAAACATTACAAGCTTCGGGGCATTGACACATTGTCCGGCAGTGTCGAGCTTTCAGGGCGCAAGGCGGAGGCACAACGGAAGGGAGGGAGATGCTACGACTCATCCGCTTATGCTGTATTTTGCTTCAGGCCACCTCTGTTTTCTTGCCTGGCTCTGATATGAGCTGATACTCAAGTCTGAAAGCAGTGCGCAGGAAAACAACCAACAAAGCCTAGGCTTAGGAAGCTGATCGTGACCCATACTACGCCTTTTCCCTAAACCCTAAACCCTAAACTCTAAACCCTAAACCCCTTTCAAGGGATCTACTTTTTGGAGGGGCCTGGGGCATGGAGAGGCCTGCAGCATGAACCTGCCACTGCGGTCCGTTTTTCCTCGCTCCCGACCCGCATCTTGTTGCGAGGACCCTGGGCTTCGACTATGCTTAGCTGGAGGGCTTCGCATTGCCTTTAGGGTTTAGGGTCTGGGGTTTAGGGTTTAGGCTTAAGGGTTTAGGGTTTAGGGTTTGGGGTTTAGGGTTTAGGGTTTAGGGTTTGGGGTTTGGGGTTTGGGGTTTAGAGCTGAAGAGTGCTGCGAGGTTGAAGAAACGGATTGGTTGAATTGAAGTCAGCCCGGGGGTCCCCTCCCCATGGGATTGAATCTTGAAATCTCCCCTTCAAGGTTCGCAAGGGAAGCCTCCCATGAGCAGTCTTAAGTTGTTCCTTGATAACTCTTCGGGCCCGAATATAGGGGGCTCGGAATAATTGCTAGCAGTATTCCCGTGTAAACCTTTGTTCTTTTTTAC